TCTTGTGTGTATGTTTTTTTTCTCCAGTAAATCATTTAATGATTACATGGTCCAATGGGTTACATAGCACTTCTTCTTATTTTCACTGATTATAAAGTTACACTCCAGGGAAGAAGCAGTAAGTACCTTTAAGTACAGTTATTGAAAATAATAATAATACGAAATCAAGCAAGGTACTAATATATATTTCTCTCACTTGTCTCTCTTACTGTGTGCAGTTGTAATCTTTTTCTTTCGATGCGTTTCAAGCTTTCATCAGAACAAAAATGCGACGGATGGACGGAAGTACCAAAACTTGGGGGTTTATGGTTTTTTTCTTACATTTTATTTGCAATTTTTCCACATAAACCAGTTTAACAGTTTATGTGGATTCATTCTCTTTTTATTACTAAGATTACTGACGGAATGGACGGAATGGGGTTCATATGCTTGTCAGGACAGACAGATAAACAGGCTTACGGACAGACAAGACAGCGATTACCGGTATATCACTGACCCCACCCGCGCATTCTCTTTTTGAGGATACCTTTAAAGGGCATGATGATTTCGTGAAATCCTATGACAGCATCGGTTATGGGATTTACAATTTTCGCGAGGATTTTGTCAAAAATGTGCACCAAGTCCGACAAGCTGTTTATACCAAAGTCCTGAAATGTATTGACATGTAAATCTTCAATGAGCGTTTTTTGCAGCTTGAAATAGTTTAATTTCGCCTTATTATAACTGGACTCGTTTGCAAGAAACATGTAAACATTAATAATATATAAAACCCGAATTGCTTTGATACTTTTAATTCAAAACAGAGGATACATCCAAATATATATATATATATTTATCAAAACTGAGGATTAACTTTAAATTTATTCAAGCTATTTAAAAAAAGTAAACTATATGGTATTAAATAAGATTGAGTTAACCTAATGATATCAAAATATGTTAAAAGAGACCATTTACATAGTTGGTATTAATTTAATTACATCCTGTGCTAATAATAAAATTATGAAAGTCGTAAAATAGTTCCATAGAGGTCCAATGGTCTAAAGACATAAAATGTTAAACTTTAAATGATTATTCTTTGGAAGAAGGAGTGAGCGAATGATTTCAAATGTTACACACAAGTAATTGGTCTAGGTTTTCATCAAATGATAAAATAATCTTAAAAACGATACTTCAAGTCCAGCCATGTCTTAAACCTCAATGGAGTCTAATATATTGTCTTTATAACTCATATTTGTGTTTATTATTGAAGTACTTATAAACATATTTACCTTCAATACATTGAGATCATACGCAATATGACCTTTGAAGCAAACAAAGGTTTCGATTATATCTATTTTATAGCCGATCAGTCCTAAATGAGCGTTAGCGTAAGCCCCATCGTAGAGGTCTACTTTGAAATGGCCGCTGAGAAGTGCTTAATAGCAAAACAAAAAGATAAAGAAAACTAGATTAGGGGTTAGAAATACTTATTATTCATTTCACTTTCTACATTCAGTAAAACAATATTAGATGGTAGGTAGTTTTCAAAAAAATGGTACATTTATTTTGACATCGTAAGAATAGTTATTGTTTACGTATTTTATTGTCAACACACATTGCCTATTTTCAGTGTTCTAGATGTAAAACATCATGTTAAGATAAAATTGCAGTTAATCGTACCTAGCTTAAGATCAAGCATATTTCGAATATGAAGACCAAAACTGGCTCCAATATCTTTAGTTCCGATCGTTTTGTCCCATTCAATACCCGGCAGTTTGATAGGAACGTGGATACCCTCTTCCAAAGTCTGCAATAAACTTCGTCTTACACGAGAAACAATAGGATAACTGTAATGCTTGCTGAAAAGGGAATTCATTAGTTATCACAATTGTAATGCAAAAATAAAATGCTAGAATACATTAACTTACAAAGTCTCACAGTATTAATAGTTGTTTTGATATGTGTTTCATGTATATATTTTATTATGGAATTGCATCAGCACTACAATCAATTCAAATATTATACTGCATACATCTCACAGGAAATACTATGGTAGTAATACAGAATTAAATACACTAAATTAAACTTAAAATAAGGTTTTACATTATTCAACGTCAAACTTAAAATTCCTTCTTTGGCACCTTTAATGTCAGGATGAATAAATATTGTTTCTAACAGTACAATGTTAGTAAAGTTTCTTTGAAAGTGTACAATATATAAATAATTATGTTAAGTAATAAATCACAAATGTAATATTTCTTATCATTTGCTAACGCAAAGATCAGAGTTCAATTTATAATTACCGTATTATAAAGACTACATATTGATAAATTTCTTAGCAAATCAGTAAATCATAGTTAGCCCTGATGAGTCACACTATGTTGAAACACTTTACAGAAAATATGATACCATATGAAGCAAATTGTTATGACCATTTTACCATGCTGCTGATGAGGATGATGAGCAAAATAAATAAATAATAATTAAACAACTGACAAGTGATATAATAAACTCATATACTTCTATACATTTTTATCTTTTGCAATGTCATATATAAATTCATAGTGAAAATTAGATTAGATAAGTGTAAAAGACAAACAGAATAAAATAGAAAGCTGTGAATTATTATTATCTAACACAGTAGATAAGTAATCAATTATTTATTCGTATTACAGACTCGGATTATACATGATTATACATATTTGCATTTTAAATGAAACTGATTTTATTTCTTTTTTGATAAACCATCAGCATATGATCTATTTATTGCACGTTTTTACATTTTTATTGTCAACATCTCGGTTACCTTAACACAACATTTTCATGCTCGATAGTAAAGTTATCACTCCGTGGATGTTTCTTTAAAATATCTGTTGCCGTCTTCCGTACAACCTCGTCGTCATCATGTACAGCACTTGTTAAAAGTGCATGTGCACTCTGAATATTGACAAGCATGAAATGTAACAACAACAAACAATGTTAAAATAAATATCCATTTGCATAGGAAAAATACTTCTTTTTTTTAGCAATAAAATGTCTAGTGTTTGAGTGTTTGATTTATACAAATTTAAGTTGTGGGTGTTTGTTACCCCTGTTAACGCTAGAACAACTTTTCACGTTTCATGGACTGAAGTTGCAAACGAAAAACATGCATATACAAATATGCATGTATGTCATGTTTGGGTAAATATTTTTATTTATATATACTTATACCTAAACTTATGAAAATGACTCTTTCGAGGCTTTTAATAAAATATGAGTTATACATCATAGAAAGCAGGTAGAATAACTATGTTTGAACACATATGAGGACAAAGTAAGCATTTAATATTTTGCTGTAAATTATAATGTGTTTCCAATACCAGCCTTGCTATAGACTTACTTCGTTACATGAGAAATGTCTAAGACTATGTATAGCAGCTCGGCGCCATGCGGTAACACCAACATTAGGCTCCATGTATGACTTGATGTGCTTGATTGATCTAGATTTGCCTGCGTTTCCAAGACTCTGAATGAGGACCATCTTTGTTTCAATATGTTTTCTAGCTGGCATATCATGTTGAGTTATAGATCGTCTTTCTCTTGGTTTTACAATATTCATTGATCTTGCTGTAAATGTTGACAATTTAGTGGGGGGTTTTAAACAAATATGTCAAAACATGATAAAATAGAAAAGGTAATTCATCTTTCTGCCTTATTTCACCTTAAACTATTCTTTAAGATTATGTTGATTATTATAATAAGAAACCAAAAAACAGGCTTTGCCGGATCTAGGGTTCTAATCGACCAATAAAAAAACGTTGCTTAAACATCTTGACGTGTAAGCTATAGATTCTGACAACGTTCTGTCTGTAATAAAAACAATACACAGAATGATAAAATGAATATGTAAGGCGTGATAGAATGTTAGAAAAGTATACAATTCTATTTGCTTAAATAGGAGGAAGTACTTTTTCCGAACGTTTTTTTATTGGTATATTCTTGTGAAAAAAGATTATCAGATAATCACCGCATCATCCGACAATAACTGTAGAGCATTATACAATTAATCATACAAGTTGCTGACAAGATTAAGCAAATAATATAGTCTGAATGAGATAAACATTCCGAGGGTAATGTAAATGTATAAGTCAACCTGGATATATTTCCTCATATATCCAGTGACAAATAACTAATTTATTATAACGCAAATTTTTATTGACGACAAGTTCATAAAAAAACAGCAACTTGGCACTTTTTCATTGACGGGCGGATAAAGAAGCTCGTAAAAAGATGACATCCGATGTTTAACGGCCATAAGCACGATACGCAATAAAATGTAATTAAAGTATAAAGTATAATTACTTTTAAATTTTTTTGAAGTTATGTTATTTCAACTGAGCTATAAAGAACAAAAACGCAATATAAGATTTTATGTATACACGTATTTAACGGTTTACGTTGTAGAAAATATTGTTCTTTGTGCTTCACTTTATACAAAGTGCTTAGGCCAATCTAAATTCGAGAAGTGTAACATTGTTCACACATGTATAAGTTATATTAAACATTTACTTTCATTGTGATGATCGAGCCAGTTTTCAATTTTCTCAACAATTCTGTCAGACTCTGTCATGTTCTTGTCATGTAGTGATTGAGCCATGGCTCCAAGTGTTAAGCATGCTCTCTTCCTGGTCTTTGTTAACCCAGGTGTCTCTGAAAAACAAGACGGTTCAGAATTGCGAATGTTACATATTAAATGTCCTGGTTATTAAGGCCATCTAAATGTACAAAGCAGGGCATTTCTATTTATTCCAAAATGACACATTAATTGGAGTACGTGGGAAATGAATGTAAAGGAATACAACATCCCATTTTAAAACAACAAGACCACACGTCAATGTATTTTTTTAAATAAGTTTCTTACGAATCATAAATATTGTTCACCACTCATATTAATTTACTTTCGAAAACAATGTATGATGAAGTGAATTTTATTTGGATATACATGTTAAATATTTATAAATAGTATCAAATTTAATTACCTCCGGGTTTTGCATCGTCATCAAAACAAAGCTCTTCAATGTGCTGGACTATTTCCTAAAAATATTATATAATCAATTACGTTCATTTCAACATATCCCTTTTGAATTCATAACAGAAGACTAATTCTTGCATAATTATCAGACTGGTGTTTCCGTTAGTTTCATTCATGCTAGACACTTTATCTTGCGTGATGTGTGCCGGATGAGTCGCATGTGCCAACTACATATGACGCCATTTTTTGCATTTTGGAATGAATTCGTGCTTTTAGATGACAATATTTTGCTGTTATAACGTTATGAACGTTGTGAATTTATACAGTAAGTAAATAGTTACGGTGAAATATGCAAGAAAAATATCTGACATAGATTTGTGGTTCGGATTCAAATATTTGTCCCTCGCGTACCTCCCATGGGCGGTAACTCGGGACGGATATTCCGAGCGGAATTGCAATATATGCTAGATATCGTTAATTTCACATGCACGTATGCGGTATTTCAGTTTTCGCATGGACCAAATTGAAATACTCTAAAAATGATGCTTGTTTGACTTTAATGAAAACATGGAAGACGATCATAAAATAAAACAGAAACAGTTATAAAACAATACAACATATCATCTTAAATATTTCTCTGAGTAATGCCAACCCATCTCGCGAGAGTTATAGGCAGGAATAGTACACTTCGGATGTGTTAGTGAAAGGGAAAGTAACAACCTGAGAATGAACATTATCAGGACAGTGAGAGACATTGAAAACTTCAAGTCATTGTTAAACTGTTTTTATAAGTAAGAGTGAAAAAAAAATTAAAAGTAAAAACACAACAAGTCAACTAATACTCTATCCACTGCCGGTTTGAACTGAACTAGTTTAGGCAGGGCGACAATATTCCTTGGGAGCTGGTTCCAAAATGTGATATGGTGGGAGAAAACTAGAACTTTTGGTAGTCTTATGTAACCTGTATTTTCCTAAGAGGGAGGGTTGCATATGTCTAGCAAGCCTAGATGGAATTATTTAATGTGCATGGGAAGGTACGTGGCTACCAGATTATGGAAAATTAAAAAAAACAACATAATATGTTAGTCTAAAGTCTAGTCTGCGATGCTCGAGTGAACGCCAGTCGAGATATTTCTGCATGGCTGAAAACTGATTACAAAGCGGAGTAGTCGTGTTATACCCAGCATATTTTTTGTCTATTTTTTGGATGATTGACTGTGTGTAGGGGCTTTAAACAGTTAATGCATATTCTAGCATGGATCTTACTAGGGTTTTATAAGCTATTTGTTTTACTTTTTCATTTTTTGTATTTATATTCCGTTTTATGAATCCTAGGTTTTTGCTTGTGTTTGGTGTAATTATTGAGATGTGTGTGTTGTAGTTTAGGTTTGCGGACAGGTCAAGGTATCTTGAGCTTTGAACTGATGTTAAAGCTTGGCCATGAAGGAAGTACTAGTTGTTGATGACTTTTTGTTTTTAGTAATGTGAAGAACATGGCATTTTGATGGGTTGGATTCATGTCCCACTCCTTTTCCCATATTTGCATCTTATTGAGATCCTCCTGAATGAATTGCGAATTTAAGACTTGGAGACAGAAGATGGAAGTTCATTTATATAAATCAGAAAGTAGAGTGGGCTAATGAAAGAGCCTTAGGGGACGCCAGAATTTACAGGGACTTCTGTAGAGTATTCTTAATCCAGTACGACAGTTTGGCTCTGATCTATTAGGAAGGAATTGAGAATTTGTGTGGAGACATCGTTTTCTTAAATGGGAAGGATTAATTTACAGTGACCTACTTGTTCAAAGGCTTTGCTAAAGTCAATGAGAATAAAATTTGTTTGTTTGCCTGCTGAGATGTTATTGACATAGGAGTCTGCGAGTTCAATAAAATATGATAAACAAAATCAACAAGGAAAGGCGGCGTTCAGCGAACGCAATTCCTTTGTTTCAAATGAACGTTTCTCTCTGAAGTCATGCTGTAGGTCGAAAAGAATATTGTGATTACTGAAATGTGAAGAGAGATGTGAAGCAACAATGTGTCAAAGCGTTTTGCAAATGATACAAGTAAATTAAATCGGTCGGTAAGTGGCTGGGTATGTGCTGTCACCTTTTTGTAAATAGGGCAAACATAGGCTTTGTTCCAGTCAGAGGGAATTGTACCAGAGGATAGAGATTTTGGTAATAAAATTGTGATGGTATCTGTAATTTCATTCCTCAGTTCTTTGAGGACAACTGGCCGAACAAAGTATGGCCCTGCAGCTTTGGCTATCTTTAAGTTGGCAAGGAGTTTCAGCACCCCGGACTTGCTGACAGCTATATCATCTATTTTGGGTACTTACATTATTTTATGGGGTCAAGTTATTATAGTTTTTGCAGGCAAGTTTTTTAAGGCAGTGGAGAGGCACTGAGAAAACAAACTGATTGGAATTGCCTGTTAAGTATATTGGCCTTGTCAAAGTTGTTAGATTCAAACTAGCCTGTTGTTTGTTCTTTGAGAGTTGTTACATTTTGGAAATCTTGCTTAGTACTTTTTAGGCTGGAGTATAAATTTTTAGTAGAAAATTTAGTTTAAGTGTCAGTGGGATAAATGTCATTCATCAAAATCTAAAGTTCTAGAGTGTGTTCCAAGTGTTTGGTTGTAAGTTGTTTTAATTTGAGTTTTGATGAGTGCTTTCAGTTTTTCTTTTAATTTTTCTCTTAGTTCATGATTTGATTTATGTTGTTTTTTTAGTTTTTGGTATTGTAACATATTAACTCGCTGTTGGTCAGCCAGTATTAGCCACTAGCTGATAAGCCCCGCCTAAATTCACCTGGCATCACCTCTCTGTAGTATCATAAGTAAATAGATTTAGAAACCGAACGGCTGCGTTGTTTCATCTATCTACCCATGCTTGTCCAGTAACTATAATATAGCAGACATTACATTGGCGACGAGGATGATTGGATATTACTTTTCACTAATTCAATTTATTCTCGAGAACTTGTTAATAATTACCTCAGTGATAAAGTACGTGTGGCTATTTTCAAGAATGAAGGATTTATATAAATTATCTCAAGATGGCATCTTTTGAACTAACAACGCCACAGCCTTTCAAAGTTATTGGGCAAAGTACCAACTAATCCGGTTCATGGGACAAAAAATTACTTCAAACGTTTTGAATATTATAGACATGCAGCGGAATAACAAAAGACGAAAGAAAGAAAAACTCTCCTATAACATCTGGGAGGAGAAGAATTACAAAACATATACGAGACAACAATCCGTCAAGAAAATTCATACAGCCAAACAGTCAGAAATGTAACACATTACTTTAATTCAAGGAAAAATATAAAATATGAAAGACATAGATTTAGACATTTTGTAAACAGTCTCAGAAATAATGTTACACTGATTAATTTTGATGTTTTCTCTAGCAGTTTGAATGATAACGCTTATTGCTATTTAATTTATAGTAATAATTTCCTGAAACATGTCATTAATTTTCGTAGTATAATGGTTAGTTTGTACGTTCACTTTGTTTTCATTGAGAATGTGTACGTCCATTTTATCAGAAATAAACTGTCAGACACATTCTCAATGACCCTATTCTTTTTATTGGAACTTATTCCAATTTATTCCAATTTCAATTGCAGATTTGAATTGAGTCCGTAGTTCTTCAACTGAAAGAGTATCAACTTTATTTATGATTTCTTGACTTAGTATCTGCATATAATTTTTGAATTCAGGACAGTTAGCTTTTTTGTAGATTGTACAGTTTTTTGGTTTTTGTTTGAGTATAATTGGTCTTGCATGTACAGTTGTTGTGATGATGTCATGATCTGATAGTCCTGTAATAAGATTTCTGTTTTGTTGACAAGTGTGTAGTTGGAGATTAAGAAGAGATCAAAACTATTGACATGTCTTGTGTTTTCATTTACAATTTGAGTACGGCTATGATTTTTGATGACCTCAATAAATTTATCATATGTAGAGTTTAAACTTGAGCCAGATTTGTAACAATACATATTTTCTGAGTCCCATGTAGGTTTGAGAAGGTTAAAATCTCCAAGAATAGTTTTGTGCCTTTAAGATTTCTTGTTAAGTCTAGTGATTTTTCAAATTCAAGTGTATTTTTGTGTCGTTTTCATGTGATTAATAGTAGGATGCGATGTAAAATGGTTCGTTACCTTTAAATTCTAACTTCACCAATAAAAGTTCACAGACAGTGCTTATCTTTGGTTGTTCACATGATATAAAGTTATGTTTTACAAGTATTAGTACACCACTTCCATTTCCGGTTTGTCAATCCTTACGGTAGATTGTGTACAGTGGGGATGTTGGAAAGCTTTCACTTGTAAAACAAGACTCTGTTGCGGTGATAACATCAGGGTTTCATTTTAAATGAAACGTAATTGTTTTTTATAAATGAATCAGAATAGTTTTAACTTACAAATGCCGGTGATTTTAAGGCTATTGCATGGAATAAGCATCTTCTTAAGTCCTCTTCAGTGACATTTGGCCTACGCATAACCAAATTAAGAACTAATAACTGAGCATCAACGCTTCCTTCATGTGATATAATGTCTATGAAAAGATTTCTTTCGTCTTGACATAAAACGTCGTTAACTTCACAGGTGCGTGTAAGGGCTTTTGTGCCGAAATCTAAGAAGTCTTCTCTCTTCAGGGAATAAATCAATTCTCGTAAATTGTGCACACATTCGGTTCTATTTCTGTCATCTAAACAAAACATAAATGTATGAATTTGCTTCTTAAAAGAGTTAATGAGATCGCATTGATTTAAAATTTCAATTTATTTTATTAGTCGATTTACAAACATATGATTTTATTTCTTGTTATTGAAGTTGTTGTTGTTGTTGTTGATGTTGTTGTTGTTGTTGTTGTTTTTGTTGTTGTTGTTGTTGTTCTTATTCTTGTTTTAAAGACAGTTTGTTAGAACTTTATCACTAGGTGTTGAAAAATATTTATTGAATTTAACAAAATGAAGGTAACTTTGACTCTTTTTTAATCTCAAAGATTTTTTGTATGAACACGCATTTCACACAAGCCTCTTAACAAATAATTGCCCTAAAAGCATAACAGTTAACCTAACAATATGGAAAAGTTGTATGCTCAACAAATATCTTACATTTATTTTCTATAGAATGAACACATGCCAGATGACTTTGTATCTCTTTCTCCACTTTTTGCAGCGGCACTTTCTCTGGAGGTACCTGCTCAAAAGAAACTCTGATATTGCAAAGAGTTAATTATAGACACATTAAAAATATTTGGTTATATCCATACCAAAAAAAAATTTGGGTGAATTTCAACCGTTCAGTTTACTTTCATTTGTTCACTTGTGTCTTTAAATCTTAACTTGTTACCAATATCAAATATCTCTGTTCTTGCTTTTCTCTGTATGTTGTGTTTCAGTTTTCAACACTTTCAGGAACATTGTAATCAAAAGTTTACTATAATCCTTTCCTTGATATTTAATGATGCCAAAAGACGGGTGTAAAAATAAAGCATATTTGCCAGACATAGAAAAGAAACAAATGCTTTTTCACTGTTTTATCGTGCATTATGTCACATTGTCTACCAACCTGCCGTACAGTCAGTGTATCTTTCTGCATGTCACGTAGACTATGACTAGCCCATTCATTGTGTTTCCTGTAATAGGTAAATAAAATACCTTTAGCTGTTTATGATAGTTGATTATACATTTTACAGTGAACATGAAGCACAAATTGTTTCAATAAAATCAATCCTTAAGCCTTTTAAATTTGTATTTCAATTATTACCAGTTTTCATTAGCTAAAATGACACCTATGATGTTTTTTGACATGTCGGGGTTGGAAACGCTTTTTCCGAGAATTATTTACTATTTTGATGTCTGGACCAATAACCTTGTGCAATTTTTCAAATCATTCCTTCATCCCGTTTTCCCAGAATAATCATTCTTATTGTGCAAACTGACCTAATAATGAAATGCGTTACAGAGAAATGTACTCAAATAAATTTTTAGTATATTTCTTTATTATCACTCACAGACTTTTTTCTTCATTTTAATTGCTACAATGTATCTATTTTAGAATGTCAAGCGTTTTGCTTTTCGACCTCAGTACAGTTCCTATAACTAGGATGAGCACAGTTTGTATTTATGAAATTGTAAATTACCTGTAAATGCATATCTGCTTGTATTTTAATCACCAAATATGTACATATGACTGATTTTATATAAATAAGTTGTGCGTGAAAGTCATTGCTAAGTATGACTGGTCTTGTCGTTGAAACGTATACGACTTACGCTTTAAGAAGAAAACTCAATGAGTTATAAATGAAACTTACATCTAGTCTAAACACATGATTAATATGAAACAAGAGGGCCCAGAGGGCCCTGGGTCGCTCACCTGAGAAATAGTTCATAAAGTCAAAGTGGACCCCTTTTTACCCCCGCCAGAAGCACAATTTGAAAACAAGTGACAGCTTAATCTGAACAATTTTTTGTGTACTGTCACCAAGGAAATTTTTGTTTAAAATTATTTCAAAACTGAACCAGTGGTTTAGATGTTGTTTAGATGCCGTTGTTTTCAAATTTAAGCACTGGCAGCCATTTTATTAAACAGTTTAACCTGTCACTAAGTGAGAGATGAGCTTATAAAAATATGACATTAAAAGAGAATAAAAAGAAACATTGACCTGGCTGGGGAATGAACTGTCGACCTAGGGCCAATTTTGACCCTAGGGGTTGAATTACAACAAACATAGAACATGTTTCATGCCAAATATCTAAGCTCTACCTCTTTTGGATTTTCACAAGGAGATTTTTTTAAGTTTTACTATATACATATAAGGAAAATCAACGCCCCTGGGGGCAAGCGAATTTTGACCGTAGGGCTTTCAATTGATCAAACTTTATAGACATCTGGTTGAACATGTTTTATGCCAAATAACTAAGCTCTAGCTCTTTGGATTTTCACAAGAATATTTTATTTAGTTTTTACTATAATTTTGCATATAAGGAAAATCAATGACTCCCGAGGGCGGGGTCAATTTTGACCCTTGGGATTTAATTTGAACAAACATGGTATACATCCACTAGAACATGTTTCATGCCAAATATCTTAGCTCTACCTCTTTTGGATTTTCACAAGAAGATTTTTAGGTTTTAACTACATACTTATAAGGAAACAATGACCCCTGGGACGGGGCCAATTTTGACCCTAGGGCTTTAATTGAATAAACTTGGTATACACCCGCCAGAAGATGTTCATGCCAAGAGCCTCTAGCTTTTTCGGTTTTTACAAGAAGATTTTTTAAGATTTTGTAAAAAGATATATTTTGGTTTCCATTGCAACCAGAGTTCTTTATGGAATTTAATTCTTTTAACAACATTGGTAGAGCTTTATGCATGGAACATCCCTGCAAAGTTCAACAAATTTGGCCAAGTGGTTAAATTGGAGAAGTTGTTTTAAAAAACTGTTGACGCACGCACGCACGGACGACGGACAACGGGCCATCACAAAAGCTCAACATGAGGACATTGTCCTCAGGTGTGTTAAAAATATCACAGCATCATCAATATGATATTGAAGATGATATATACCTTTTCGATGTCATCTTCAGCTTACTTCTTGATATAGAGCTGATCTTTGGAAATTCTGAAAATATAAACATCAAAAAATGCATACATCCGGATATATTTATTTTTGATATATTACACACTATACATAACTCAAGTCGTTACATCACGAATATCTGTTTATGTAATATATTCACAATAAACTACTTATTATCTGGAGCGTTGTTTAAATTGAAATTATTTTCTTTTAATTTGTTTTGTTCTGATTTTCAGAAGGTAATCAAAGCAAACATACTTATCATTAAATGTAATTCTGGTTGATTGCTGTTTACACTTGCCTATGTTTTTCAGCAATGAAAATATAATGACCATTCGTTTGGATAAGGGAAATCAAAGTCATGTAGTTGTGAAATTTACTTGTCCATCTGTTTAATTCCATAAAATCCCATAAAGACTTGAGTGTGTTTACCTCCCGACTGTTCCTCTTTTATCTCTTCGAACCCATCCATTGTTTTACTGTAAAGATACAATGATACTACTCAGAAATCACTTCCTACGATACAACATAATAAAATCTTTTTAAAAGGACGTGGTTATTTCAATAAAAGTTACTATTTATGTTAACATTTTAATTTGTTGTATTTTTGCCTTAAGAAGTTTTCTTTGTTTCATAATTTTTAAGAATAACAACTACACTTTGAAATTGAAATGGCCATTTAATAATAAATGACGGAAAAAACATAAAGTTATAATATAACATAAAATTGTATACAAAGCAGCAAACATTTTTGAAAAATGTATATAAAAATATATACACACGTATCCCAAAAATTATTAAAGGTTGGATTTTAAGAATATTGCCAAAAAACATTTGTATATAAAATTATATACAAACACCAAACGTTATTGAATGTTTATTAGTTTGTGAAAAATTGAATACTGAATGTGGGTGGGATGGTGGGTTATTAGTCCCCTACCGGTTTACCGGAGGGAACTATAGGTTTACCCTCCGTCCGTCTGTCCGTCTGTCCGTCAGTCCGTCTGTCCGTCCGTCAGTCCGTCCGTCCACAAAACTGGATCCCGCGATAACACAAAAAGTACTGAAAATATTTTAATGAAACTTGGTATATGGATAGATGGCAGTATGGAGATTATGCACGTCTTTTTTTTTTTCTTCCTATGTTGAAAATTCTGGTTGCTATGGCAACAAATAGACTGAAAATATGGCAAATTTTACACATAACCTGGATCCCGCAATAACGCAAAAAGTACTAAAAATTTTTTTACGAAACTTGATATATGGATAGATGGCAGTATGGAGATTATGCACGTCTTTTTCTTTTTTTCCTATGCTGAAAATTCTGGTTGCTATGGCAACAAATAGACTGAAAATATGGCAGATTTTACACATAACCTGGATCCAGTGATAACGCAAAAAGCATTGAAAATATTTTTATGAAACTTGACATATGGGTAGATGGCAGTATGGAAATTATGCACATCCTTTTATTATCTTCCTGTGTTGAAAATTCTGGTTGCTATGGCAACAAATAGACTGAATTTCAAGATTTCTGATTCTAGTTTTTAAGTTTTTTCACTATAAGTTCTTTATTTCTTAAGGTATTTTCTTCAAACTTTAAAAATAAGTTGCTAGTCATCAACCACATCATATGTGACAAAGTTTACAACTTTAGCACACAATTTATCAGAATTACCTCCCTTGAACTTAAAATTTTCATGAAAAAAAAACATTGGTTTTTTTAATAACTTTTTTTTTTTCTGAACGTATCTACTTCAAACTTCATATAAATGTTTCTTATTATCACTCAACATTTGTGAGTGTTGCAAGACTATTTCCAGAATTATGCCCCTTTTGAACTTAGACTTTTTTTTTGAGAAATTGGTAATTTTTACTCCAACTTCTTCAATCATGATAGAATTTTCTTCAAACTCCCACATCATTATAATATGACAAGGTTTATAAATCTAGCATCCATATTTCCAGAATTATCTCCTCCTTAAACTTTTAATTTTTCCTATTTGTTCTTTTAACTTTCATTTACTTCAATTTCAAAATAAATATTCAATATTCATACCTTCATTACTAATTGTTCTTTGTTACAATCACATCATGTATGGCATCGTTATCTCCTTTTTTTTTAAATTTTGCTTTTAAAATGTTATATTTTGATAACAGGGATGTTTAAAAAATAACTTTAGACTGTCCTTCAGTCCGTCTGTCTGTCTGTCTGTTCACTGTGATCACTTTTAAAGAACTTTTTCAACAAATTTACTTAAAATAGAAAACATAAGTGAATGGCCCTTCAGAATGTTGCTTGGGCTCTTACCGGTAGGGGACTTATGGATTGCTTGCAATACTATGATAATTGCTTGTTGAAAATTGTTATGAATTTTTTCTTCTTTAAAATGGCGGACTTAATTAGCATAAATTATTACATTGTACTTACTTTTAACGAGAACCTGATTGTACTTACTAGTACGGTTTTTTGAACCCGATATATTTTAACCTATAACTAAAGACCTAATGAAACCCACCATTAAGCTTGTAAGTGACCATAAAAACATTTATTTTGCAATAAATTTAGTTTTGAATGATTATATTGAAGTTTTGTTTTGTTGTTTTATTTAAAATTGTATTCGTATCATTCGTACTTTGTGTCACATTTTTGTCACAGGAAAAAGATTGAATACTAGTATTTTATAAGGCTGGTCTTAGTTGTTTGAATTCTTTATCAGTATCACAAAAATAATAAACAACTCTTTCTTTAATTGATGATACAAAAATTTAACTACACGCAGGCAAATATAAATGGTATCATTAAGTATTCGTTTACAGTTGTTACCATTTAGACAATCGATCCATTTGGCATGTTTGGTAGGCTCTTAATCATTTTTTACAAAAGTTTTACTGTGAGTTTCAAAATAATCGGTGAAAATGCCTTAAAGATTCAAATTCAAAGCCAATTATTAAAAAGGCAATGATATACTAAATCAATGTTAAGGTAAAATATACTTAAACATTTCTGAAATGTTTATATACATGTATACTTGTATATAATATATTCATATTTTATAGTTGAATAAGAACCCATAACCTCTCAAAAGTCCAGGTAAAAGTGTGGTTACATATCAGTTTGGCTAAATTTTTGATCGCGTACTGGGATTGACTGATATTTAGATTTAGCACCGGGATGGAATAGCAAACAATCTGTGAATAGCAAACAATCTGTTATTAGGTAAATCATTTCGACGCATTTTTGAAAATTTTCAACAGCTTAGCAAATATACTGCAAAGATAAATTTATTAACGGAACACCTGATTGGCAAAAATGAAATCTTGAAATAATAGTTAAAGGAAAAGTAAATCACTGATTAAATATCTGAACTATTAATTGTTATTATGTCTTGAACTTGAATTTAATAACTACTTATTTTCTAACCAATGGTTAACATAGTTATCAAGCTAGAAGCTCTGAAACTATTCATACCATTGGTATTAGAGTTGGTCACAACATTAATGTAGATTGGATGGTTTTTTAATACAGCCTCGCCGAAAAATGCAGGCATATTTCTTGTCTGACAGACACTTTGTAAAGATTACTTACATGCATATCGATGAAGTAAATAACTAAATGACAGAATGTGCTTTAAGTGTTATGTGGTAACGTTTAATTGATGATGATGATGATGATGATAATGATGATGATGATGATAATGATAATGATGATTCTAACAGATTAAGATTTCTTTAATAATCACCTGGACACCTTAGATGGCGAGTGACGTAATGTAATGTTATCTAGGGAATCTATGTGAACTGGCGTACCCGCCAGGTCAAGATGCACCGTCTAAAATAAAAGAAATAATTCTAAATGTGCATATATATACTTGGACAGACACACTTTTTAGGAAAATTCAGTTAGTGAACTCAGAATAAATGTGTTGAAAATATGTACAGCTTTATTTAACTTTCAATGCAAATATCTATGGTTATAACAGACCAGGCATATACGACCAACATCAAAGATACGTCTTCCCACAAACTACAATTTCCTCGCAAATTTCGAATACTAATTTATGGAGATTGTAAAAATGAAAACTTCCAAACAATATTTTACAGACCGAAACAACATTTTACAGACACATTTTAACGGGATCGTTTACAACTTTAATACAGCTATAGTATAATGCTGCGCTTAATTTCCCTATGAAATGCAATATTTTCAATTATATTTATTGCTGTAACGTATTATAAGCAGAAAAATTACATAATTGTTAACCTTATTATGAAGTCTATGAACATCTTTCAAGCTTTGATGTTTGCGCACGAATGTTATGCCGTCGCTGTGGCGAGTGGCTTCATACTCATGTTCTAGGTCACCTGAAATAGATCACCTACTATAGATGCAATCAGGTAATCGGCAAATGTGGGGGTTTCTTTTATGTTATCTTGGGAAATAAACATGAGTGGTGCACGAATCACCGCTATCAATAGAATAATCAACGCATGGTTGTTTTTACCAAATATGGGTTGATGAATAAGCCCAAAATATGCCCAACATTGGCACAGTCCCGGAGTAACTCACATTGATAGATTTGTATATAACTTTTTATTTGTCATTTTAAACAATAAAACATTCATCAATGAACAATTTCGTTGACATAGTTTGTCGTGAAATACAAAGTATCAAAGGTGTAGCGAGGTCTTTCTAAAAGTTACGGTCTGATTGCTAGGGAAATACACGAGAATATTGTGTCCTAGGATGATATTGTCCATCAACATTGACCTGACACTCTTGCATTTGACCCTGTAGTCGGTATATTAAAACTTTTGAAAATATAATTCAAGTAGGACAGTACAGCTGAGATTAATTTTCATTTTTAGAAACGACATTTGAGTTGTGTTGTAACACAGCATACGGGTCGGCCAAATGTCATAATTAATTGAAATAAGAAATGGGGGAAAAATGCTTGTTCATATATAACCTGCGTGATCTTCTTCACGAGACGTGAATTTCCAGTTATCACCAACATCTACCTGTAAAAAAGACAAATTTAACTAATTGTTAAACAAGAAATGAGATATTTTTGCACAAATCTTTACATCCCTTCAGGTAAATGTTTAATTTCTAAGAAAACGTGGCGTCTGAATTATTTAGAGAAATGAGAGAAATATTTAAATAAAATGCACTTTATTTCAAATAAAGTATTGCCCTGTCGAAACCTATGTTTGAGGACGTTTGTCGTTGCCAATTGTATACATCTGAATAATTTGTAACTACAACGATATAACACGGTGACATTCATAACGTTTTCTAAAATAATCTACGTTACAAAATCTCTTGTGTAACTTACCAGTCTTTTTACTGACAAAGTACTCGCTAGAACTTTTTTCATTGTTAGAACTTCGTCCTTCTCTTCCGGGTGAAAATGCACAAAAGTCACGACACCGTCGGTTCCAACCGTGAAAAAGAATCTAAAACAGGAATAAGTTAATGATTATTTCAGTCCTATTGTGTACGTTTTTGCCTTGTGGTAATTTGGTTTTTATTTTGCGGCCAAAGGCCGTCTCCTATTTGTTTGACTTCCTGTAACATTTACAGAGAAGAGCTGAAAATAAGACGATAACCATTGATCATTTTAAAATTAGAAAGAGTAATCTAGGAATCTCGTTGGCCATTAATGCAAGCTTTGCTAACATTTCAATATGTGTTTGCATGTAAAACTAAGAAATTACATATGCAAGTAAACCAGTTTGACTTCGGCCGAGTATCTTTTTTAAAAGATATTTCTTGTTTATTTCTGCAATAGTTCTTATGTGATTCTTTTAATAATATTGCCGATTAGAATTTATAGAATATATAAAGTCAAACGTAAAAGCTATTAATATGGACACCTAAATAAATACTGTAAAACTGTAAAATAGAAGGAAGTTGTCCTATTTGGAAGAGAAGTCAATATCAATTTGATTATAATTTGATTTCTATGTTTACAAATATGCAAGTTATCTAGCTTTACTTCGGCCGAATATCGGGGTTTTTTTGTTTGTTTGTTTTTTGGTGGTTTTTTTTGTTTGTTTGTTTTTTTTCAATGTCATTTTATGCCTGATTGAATAAATATTGTGATGCTGATAGAAATAATTATATCGTTACATTCATTTTTAACTTACTTATTACTAAATTGCCAATGTTCCGGGTTTTCCACAACTGAAAGGAAGTAAACGCAAACATTAAACATGTGAAAAGCGTTCTTAATTGTACAAGTCATATCATAATGTTAGAAATTTATGATAAACAGTTTTAGTACTAGTTATAGATATAAGTCTATCAAGAACACTTAGATTAATGAATGGCAAGATGAAAAAAACAACGTCCACTTGAATTAAGAAAAGTGCGACTCTTATGTTTTAAGTTGCTCACTTTCATGAATAATATGTACTTCCTTGTCAAATTTCCCTATAATTTCCTTTTTGAAAATAAGTCTTGTAATTAAGTTGTTAAATTTGTGATTTGTGTAAGTTATCATATATGAGTCAAATACCGCCTAGATTATTTTTCCATAGTTTTAGTATCAAAGGTTTCTATTATTTTTTTTACAACTTGGCCAACCGGATATTTAAGTCGAGTAATTTTCAGTCTGAAATAGATATTGATATCTCCGTATTTCAAAAATCATTATATTCAGTCTGCAGGCGCTTTTGCAAAACGTGTATGTTACTTATAACCGACTTACTGTATCCCTTTTCAGAGATTTGTACAAAACTGTCAACCATTAACTGGTGAAGATTTTTCCCGCCGTCTGTATCATTTACTGAGCGAATACGGAACTGAAAAATAAAACACTTACATTGATATTGTTGTTTTTTTTTCAATGGAATTTGCGTCGTAGATACGTATTTCAATTGACAATAATTACTAACACCTAGACAAGTATTGTTGGGGTCGTATGCCAAGTTTTAACGAGAAAGCACTTGAAATAGCATTAGTCTTCTCGGATGGGGCTCTTAACGCCTAAGAAGAACAGATGCCAAAACAAATATTACACTTTGAGAAAACAAGATATAATTACGTAATGTTGACATATTTTCACAAAAAGATTACCATTCCATTTCCATTAAATAAGGTGCTGATAAGCTAACGGGAAACTATGAGTATAATGAACAGATTTAAAATAGACTGTGTACTTTTACAGAAATATGGAGGTATTAATTTCATGATAGAAAGGAGAGGAATAACAGAAAAAGCCAGAGTGGGGTATACGACAAATTAGCCCTGACCGAATAACTACGTCCGAAAGAACACTTTATTTACCGATCATATGACTGCAGTTGCAGATCATTCGTTTAAATGATTGATAAATAATTCACAAAAGTGACCTCAATACTGCCGTGGTACAATAGATTTGACTTCCGATTTTAAGAAAAGAAATAATAGAAACTCCCTAGAGAACGTCCAAAACCGCAAAATAGTTAATGACGAAGACTCGGTTTGACTGAGCCTGTTCGTGGACTGTACTGGATAATGCAAGCTATTGTCCACGCCCCTTAGTGCTTGCTGGTTTAAGTTGAATTCAAGTGAAGATTTAATGAAAAGGTAAATTTTTGAATTTAGAAACATAATCATGGAGCCATCAATGTGACACCTTTGTGCCATTCTATGCAATGAGACGTATGGTCCCCATGTAAAACAGGACCATTTCGCGGACAACGCTCTCCACTTTTCTCAGTGCTGGATGGTTGAAAAAATGGGTCAAATTCTGCAAACATGCTAGAATCAGACAAAAATAGGCATCAAATATTTTAAAATTGAAGCGAATTACTTTAACGGTTTTTAGATAAAGTTAAATATTCCCAGACAAAGAAAGGGAAATAATAAAACAAAAATGCCTTTCTGTCGTTAGTAATACATTTCAAAATTAGTAGTGAACAAGTACCAAAGTTTAAAGTGAGTATCTTTGATACTTTTTGAAAATGTACCTCAAAAAAAAGTTAACCAGGAAATTCAAAGTCATAAGGGGGTATAACTGAGAGCAAAAGTAACCTGTCCTTTAAAACTGCATTTCAATCTAAAAAATTGAAAAGTTTGAAGTGATTTACTTGAGATTTTTTGAAATATTGACGTTAGAAACATAGAATTAAGCACGAAAGGTACATAACTTTGCAAATTATCTGTCTTTCAGAAATGTTGACATATTTTATTGTGATCATGTATATTTAAAACGAGAGAATACAGATCAACTAGGCAAATGCAACGTTCACATGACGCTAAGAAAGGAGTGATTAACTTTCATAGTTTCTGAGAAAATGGATCTTAACAAAAAAGTGCTTAAAATATACTAAGTTGAAAAAGGCTAATAACTTTGCATAAAATAAATCTAAGATTGTCTACCATGGCGTCCTTTTATTACAATAAACATGCATGCCATGTGTGAAGTGAATAGTTTTTGATAATATTGTCTAATAGAATGGACTAAAACGAAATAGTTAACTGGCGCCAACGCCGACGAGAGTTCCAATTTTACGGAAAAAGAAGCTAAACATGGGTGTGCTATAAATGAAAAGAAAATGAACACTAAACAAAATGGAATTTTAAAAGAGGATCAAGATTTTGAGGCCTGCATAACATAGATATCAAAACACAAATTCAAAACAGCAAGCAAATCCTAAGGGTGATTAAACAGTATTCGTGTGAGGAATTGTCCAACTAGAAAAAAGCCACACAGAAAGAACTTAAGTGACCACAAACATAACAATAATGGAGTGCTGAACGATCATCAAGAACCGGCAATATAAGTTCTCTGACTGAATAACTGCCTCAACAAGGCACAAACAATAGGGTGTTGAAAAATAAAGAATCCCTAGGGAACGTCTAAAACGTCAAAATTGATGCATGCTCGTTTGTGGACGTCAGTCTTTATCCATACGACAGTGACGATTTGTTGGCTACCGCATCCCCATTTCTCAGATAATCCTCTTCTCTTTAGAAAGTTTTAAATCAGTTCTTTTCTCAGCAAAGATTCATTTTGAACGCAGTCATTTTTAAAATGATTTATATCATCACAGAACGAGTCAAACAAACGCTGTATGATTTTGAATTTCTAGAAAAAGCAGTTGCTCTGATATCTATTGCAGCAAGTTAGCTTTAATTTGGGATTCTAGAGCTAAAACATTCTGATGTTACACGAAATTATTCCGTCTGAATGAGTCAGCGGCAAAAGTCCTGGGAATGCATGGTATCCTGCAAACGATGTTCAAAGAGTCTTTTCCCAAGAAGTTCCAAACAAAATTAAAGATTTTATATTAATAAAAGCCTAAGTGAGATTTTGAAAAGTCCTTGTTTAATCCCATAGGTTTGCTGTGCCTTATAATCATGAAAGGACAAATATATTGTATATACAGTTACTATGGAAACAAATAGTGGTGCGGATGACGTTTTACCACAAGACTTTATTATAGCATGGACAAATATATGTTTAAGACATGATCTCCACAAAACACGCAAAAAAATGGAGGGTTTCATATGTTCGTTGATTCTAGAATTAAGCGGTGTATGGAGAATATGCATATTTCGTTTCTTTGACCAAAATCATCGTCATGGAGAAAAACAGAGTAGCCCCTTTGTAACAGCTTTCAGTCCCGGAGTTAGAACTTTGTGCGGCACTACGTGCAGCAAAACTCTGTCGACCTATAACCTCAGCTATTGCGCTTACCATTAAAAAATGTCTGTGGACGGATACCTTAATCGAGTTGATTTTTTTTTTCAGTCAAGCATCATCCAATATTTGTACTGAAAATTAACTGAAAATTGGTTTGCATAAATCCAACCAAAGTTCAGATCTACTTATGTCTCACATGTAGATCGCTTTACCGCCGTATATGTTTCGCCTTCGTTGTGTTCGGATTTCCCGCGAAAGCTACTTTTAGCCTTGCAACCAAACTGGTTTTTCAAAAAGGCATTAGAAGAAGTATCAAAATATCGGTGTCCGTGGAAGTTGAACAAATTGTTGGTTTTTTGTTAGAAAAAATGTTTAAAGTAATTTGAATCAAGTAAATTTGAAATATTAGATTCAATTTTTAATGGATTTGTTTGCCAGTTTACTTGCAAGGTATATGGAGAACGCCGTGTTTGTTCTCTCGAAATCGTGAAAATTACCTACTCCCTACTGGTTTTCCAGCGGATAATATTAGGAAACGCATCGCTTTCATAATTGTGAGAGCTCGCCGATGATTGGCTGTTTGAAAAATCACGAGAGGGTTACAACCTTGGTGATAGTCAGATCTTGATGTGTAGCGTTATTTAGGAGCTGATTTTAATCAGATTGGGTTTGCATGAATTTTTACTTGATGTTTCTGATGATATGAATTAGCATGCTCTTAAAAATGTTCCGATTCGTAGAAGACTCCATTTTTAAACTTTATAACTGAAAGATGTGAAATGTAATGTAAACTTGAGTATCGTTACGAAACCAATATGACAGAAATGACAATAAACAAAACCCAATCTTTTCAGGAACTTTGAACATTCGTATTGTCTACAGTTGCAAAGATATTTATAGTTCTTATCATATAATTACTTTGTTATTTCTAACTCAATAAAAATGCTTGTGACTAAAAATAACTGTTATAACTAACGAATTGTTAATATAATAACACACCACTTATCAGAAGCGTGCAAAGTCATTGAGTATAATTTATATCTTAAAATATCTCGCCTGTTATGTATCTTATTCATAAGATTTAATCCTATGATGTAATAAGATGAACAACCTTAGTGAAATTTATGTATAATATTCTTTAACAATTTCAACATCAGGTATGTATTGACTGAAATGATCAACGCATTGGTGTAATGATTAATATTGCTCATCTTATGAAAAAATGACTTAGATTTTTGAAAATAAATCAAATTATCTCCCTTTATTTAAATGAAATGTAAAATCGGTAACATCTTTACAAATAATGCTTTTTGGAACTTACAATATTGATAAATCTTCATTTGAGCATCATATTTATAATATAAAACCGTAAAAAATGGATCTTTAAGTCTCTATTAAAGTTTATGTCAAGATAGAATATTGCACACATTGCTTTTGTGTATGTTTTATAGGTAGTAGACTGTTTGTTAATTATTATCTGATATAACTTTATATTTTTTTATAATATGTATTCTTTTAATCATTCAAACATTGTATATAATATAACACTTAAACAATTACAATTCGCCGGACACAGTAAGTGAAGTAATTAAACTTATGTTAAGGATTATGTCTAGATAATCTATTTCCATATGAAACATGTTCCTATATACATGTATTACCTTAATATTTTCCTGTTTAGTAAGTAACTATGTTGTTGTATTTTCTGTGACCTTGAAGAGAACAATTTAAGAGCGTGAGAAACAAACAAAGTGTGGAGTATTAAGTAAGACTAATTTTGTTTTCCTTTTTATTAATTTTCTCAGGCAAATTAATGACAAATATATTGAAATGATCTTATGTACTCAAATCAAGCTAAAATGACATTTTTTTGTTAAAGTCCAAGCTTGAATTTCTGTATAAATTTTATATATTTTGGGTTTTAAGTGTAAATATATCCATATATGTTGAACGAAATTTAGACACCGACTGTATCACCGAGTAGTTTTAAAACAAACCATGTGACTTCAACAAACCCTGGAAGTTACAATAACAGATATTGTGGATATTGTATGATTGAAACAAGTCTAAGGCATTTATTTGACATATTCTTTAACGTTGTCAGAGTTCACTTTGACAACTATCGTGAAATCTTAACGTCCTAACCTGACCCACGTGGTTCAAGTTAGGAAACCACCATTTCAGTCTTTATGAGGAGAAAAGTTTTGTTCCTGTGACTGCTCAGTTTATTTGTTTTGAGGCCATTTACAGCATAATGAATGAAAAATACAAAAAACAAAGAAATAAAAATTTTACCAGTGTCTCCCTTTAAACTTACTGGCGACAAAAGAAACTTTCGTTTATATATAGGAGGGGGTTATATTTGTTGCAGTGAAATATCTAAAAACATATAACCAAGTGAAACACAATTTCATAATTATGATTTGTAGATTATTTTTACTTCATAAGTGTGCTAATAATGTTTATGTGCTTGCAGATTTAAAGTAAAATAGAGAAAAACAGAATCCTAAAGGAAGACCAACACGGCGAAATTGAAAATATTGCAGGCTCGGTTTAATTAATGGAAGTGGAAATTGCAAGATATACTTAATATGGTGTGTATTTCTGTAAATATTTTCAGTCATTTGGAATATATATATAGTTGCATGTAAATACTTGTTACTGAATGAATGAATGAATGAATGAATGAATGAATGAATGAATGAATGAATGAATGAATGAATGAATGAATGAATGAATGAATGAAGTGTTCATATGTTTTAGAATCATGTTCTACACACAAATCAAATCAAATACTCTATCAATTATGCAGCATAAAATGTTTTGCAATCATCCAGTACCATCTTAACTACTATTATTTCTAACAATTTATATAGATCTACAGTATGAACATAAAACCATACCTTGATAATCGTTGTTATGTTATGTAAGCCCAGCATGTCCGACTCGGAGGAATATGTGTAATGATGGTCATATCCGTCCTCAAAGTACAGGGCTTCTCCACTGTAGATAGTTCCTATTACAAGTAGAAACACCAGTAAAACTGCCATCTTTAATGTATTCGAGGTTTTATGATACAATTAAAGCACCATTCATTTTTGCGAAATAATCAAATGTTTCGATACGCACAAAAGGAAAGAATTTTTCCGAACTCAAAGAGAACTCGGAACAAAATAACCTGTTTAACGATTCGAGCAGCGATCAGAGTAGAACAGGAAGTACTTATGCGCATAGGACAATTCCCTGATCATGCATGTTTATATGCTAGTTTTAAAATGATTGGCTGAACAATTGTACGTGGCATTTGTTAAGTGGAAATTGTACTTCAGAATTATTTAATATTAGGAGTGTATTCAGAGTAGAACGCATTAAAATATCAATTGTTTGACACAAATTAACAATTCGATACAAAAAAATCAGAAAAACTTTCTTGGAGAGGATGTAATAAGTAAACTGAACTGGAAATGCAACTCGTAAGTTTTGTGGTGATTGTTGTTGTCAGTTCGGGGTCGGCAATCACTAGGGATGAAGATTCCGAGTTCAATGATGAAATTCATTATATGGAGCCAGAAACTGGTGGGAAATTAACTCTTCAAAGTAAAGGAAAATTGTCGGCAATCATAGATTTTGACCAAATACCTGCTGTAAAGGTAATTATCAAGTTTATTGGTCTAAAATTCGCACATTTTCATTAATTATTTCAAATACTGAGAAAAAACAATAGAAATGTAACATTTAGATATTCTTATAAAATCATGTTTGAAAGAAAAAATGTTGATAAAGTTTTTATGATGAACATTTTATGATGACTGGTAATATTTTGCTCTAGAACAATTTATTATCTGCTATATACGACATATATGTAATACCGGATCATTTTTCTCACACTTGCCAACAATATCCATGTATAATTCTTTAGTGGTTTGTTTTTATGTCTGATACTTAATGCTTTCAACATAATTATTTATTGTATTACAGACCTTCTTTTGTAGACAAATTCACTTTAAACGATTTAATTTATAACAATAGTCAGTGACATTGTTTAATATTTTGTGTGATGTGATACTAGTATATCATATGGAATAATTTTGTGTTTAAACCTCTGCATATAGTAAATTTCTATTTAAATACTCTAAGTTTGCAAATTAGAATCATGCATTACGTTGCTTGTTCATCTTTCAATGGAAGGTTCGCTTAGGCCTCAAATGTATTTTAGGCTTTCCACTTTTGAAATAGGTTGACCATCTTAATGTTTATTATTTCACTTTATATCCATTGTCTCAGAGAGTTTTGTGCAAAGGAAACAAAATTCTCGTTGCCCTCAAGAAAGACCAACCTGATGTGACGTCATGGAAACCTGGTCAGCTTGTTATCGGCAGTAGCAACTGGAGCTGCGCTCATAACGTCCTAAAGCCGGAATCCAAAACCATTTACGCTAAAATTGCTAAAATAAAACGTCCAAAAGACTATGTCATCGAGTTACATACGACATATGCTGGGTAAAATGATGTTTTAATTCGACAAGTTTATAATTGCCCATTTATAAAAATTAAACATACATTCACAAAACGTATGAGTGCAAGAAAAAATCAAATACATAAAGTCAAGTAAACTTTTATGCTGAAAAAAAGGTTCTGTTGCCATACTTAAACTGTTAAAGGAAATTTTAAATAACTAAAAAGTTACAATTTGCACATAAAAATGTTCGTTCGTCTAAATTACCTGTTACTAGAACCTAGACATATAGGTTCATAGCATTTTAAACATAGCTCTAACGTATTAAAACATTACAGCCCCTTAGATATGTTTGAGAGAGCTGATATCCGGGTTCACTACGAGCAAGGCAATCTGGTTCCCAGTAGACATAGGCGGTATCTGTCTAACCCACTTCATACAGTGCTCAACCAAATTGACTGGAATGCTTCGTTTACAGAGAACATACCATTTAACTTGAACCATGACAATCAAGTAAGTATATAAAACTATTTTGAACCTTTAAGCGCCCTATGGCATTTTTTTCTGATTGCATTATATCATTTTAAGTAAGTAATGCGTACTGACATGTCTAAACTCGAAACATGACCGTCTTGTTGAAATATATCTTGAAAATCATTTTGGAATCGTATAGAATTCGGTGTGTGCCATATTAAATGCCATTGTTTATTTAAAATGTAGACGTATGACATTTATAGCGACACAAGATACCACATTTGTCAAAGCGATGAGGCAAATGAAAATACAATACGTCACATGGTTATTAAAATGAGAAATACCTCGTCTTCTCCCCCATTAAACATTGCATTAATAGGTTTGATGTCAAGAATCGTGGCGCATTTCCATGTGTGTTTATTGCATTGTCATATTTCGTATCGTATGTAGCTTCAAATATCTTTTCTACCCCCAAGAGCAACATTTTGCATTTAAAAATGGCACTAACCGCCGAACCTATTACCAACCAAAAATTATCTAGATGATTTGATTGCGCAACTAGTTATTTCGTGAAGAAAGAAAAGGGTATTTATCATAAATATTACCTACTTTGTTAAAGAAAGTACACAACAGAAATTCCATGCCAAAATTGATTGACCATTATTTTGATCAGGGTTAGATATTTGTGCCTAGAATCAAAGCAAAGCTTTTTTCAGTAACCGATATAACCTTCGCATTTGTGTCAAAGCCTCCATACTGATGACTAAGTTCAAAATTGGAAGATTCGTAGATCATAGAACCTCGGGTCTTATACAAATTGACTGTTGTACGTTTTTTGTTGTTGTTATTGTTGTTGTTGTTTTTATTGTTTGTTTTTTTTTCTGATCAAATCATTGCAATTAAACGTTTGACAATGTTTCAGACCCATGAAGTATTCAATCTGTATAAAAACAAAGGCAGGTATGAGCCGTCAGCAGACACAGATGACAACACAACATATGACGGAAAAGACTTTCTTTTCAAATGTTTTAGTTGCCATGGTTACAGTCAAATCTCTTATTTCTTGTAAGCAAATCTTAACCAGTTTTGTTACAACATCACTTAATTACCTAGCTGAAAAAAAATGATAAATTAAAACATTTATTGGTAACATTAATTGGTAATGTTTGTATCTGTCCAGCTTTGCCGATTTTAATATATTATATTCATTGTTTTAAAATAAAAAATCTCTGTAATTGTGTCGAGGGCACAAAATTGCCTAAATTTTTCTTATTTATTTGATGCAGTGAACTAAAGATATTTAAAGTGAACAACCAAGCTGTCGTCAAGAAATATACAATGGAAATGGACCTGAACACACATGTGAAGCAGAATTACAGGTACCTGCTTTGATGCTTGTACTGAAAGAAAAAAAATGTATTTTAAAAGCAACTCAAAGAAGTATAACACGTAAAGAACTTATCAACCTAAAACAATAGTCATATAATCCACTTGAATCTTAAACTTTGCATGACTCAAGATAAGCAATTGTAATATGATGTGTACTTGTTCTTCCTGATTGCTGGCATAATACTGGTCTATTGTCGTTTTCAGTCTTGTCTTAATTTAAATCCATATAATTGTTACAATATTAGGTTTCTACGCCCGTAGTCTCTAATAGCTCATCAAGAAAACATTTGGAAAGCTTACACTTTAAATTCTAAGTTTTCTGTCTTTATCATTAAGTACATAGGATTTCGGACATACTCGACTTATGATTTGTGTCTTAATTAAACACCAACCAATTATTATATCAGTCAATTATTTAAAACAGATTTACGTCTGTACATATGTACTTAATGCATTTAGTATATACATGTTTTGCAATATGGGGATTTCAATTTTTCAGTTTATATACAGACGAGGAAATAAGCCTTACAAAATCAGGGACAATTCAACAAAGTCCAAGATTTCAGATTTTTCAAACAGAAATAGCTAAACTAAGAGCCCTTCCTCCTATAGTATTAACAGTTAATTGCTCAACCCAGTCAAACATTCAGCTTAAAACATCTACGAAAAGGGCAACAATTTACAGCGGAGACTTAAGCATACATGGACGGACAGTGATAAGTATGAATAAGTATATAATGATAACATTCTCTTCAAATACATAGAATATTACGGAAATAAATGCTTACAAATTTCAAATACTCACTTTTTTACATTAACCATATTTTCCACAGCTCAAAAGTTTGAGGAAGGGAAACCATCACAAACTCGCGTGACTGCTTACAACTGGACAGTGACGTCATCAAACCAACATGTGGATACAAATGGTACAATGAATACGACGTTTGCAGTCTTCCAGAACATGACTGTGTTTCCCGCTCTTTCATGGGCAATGAAGGATGTAGATATGAACCTTGGTCCCCCAATACACGTCAGGTAAACCTAACCAACACATGTTTTTCTTACTTGTAAAGCCTTTTTCTTCCCTAGTTTGAAAATAAAACGAATTCAGTTCAATGCATGCATGGTAAAGAGCACAACAGTTTACGGTTCTACATTTCGCCAGTTTATTTATCTCGTCAATTCTTAATTCGTCGAAAAACGTGGGTTTTAAAAAAATGATGTTTTGTATTGCCACTTCAAGAGCATGTGAAAAGACACTGAAAAACTAGTAATTATAATACTTTGCAATTCAAATACCTTTCACTTAAACAAGGTATGTGATAAAAATGAAACATTTGAAGTTATGACCAAATTTGCTTTAATGTATTTGATACTTCATTCATTACAACTTTATTTCTCTTTCAGTATAAGACCAACAGTGAATGTTTTCTCAACCACAGATAGTGTTGCACGTTGTGGCAAAAGCTCTGTAAGCATTGATAGTAATATAACAGTTGCTGAGACAGACTTTAGTATTGATGCCTTTGGGATCCATATCTGGTATCTTTGTTTATCTTCTCTGAATAAAGCTTATTTTCTTAAATCATGTCAAATCTAGTTCTATATGAGCCTGAAGACGAGCGAGAATATTGCACTAAGCCTTTTTGGAACTTGTCTTGAATCTAATGCAAAGTTCTTTAGACATGCTATTCTTTATGAAGCTTCTCTTTGTTAATATTTTTGCCTTTATTTTTAGGTATGTTAAACTTATGAATATCCTGGCTAGGAAACTTAACATATTACACCATCCATTGATGTTCAATTGCCATGCTGACTGTCATGGTCCGATTGATATAAGGGCAGACGAGGTGATGGAGATAGCTTGTCTTGAACCAAGTAATCCAATTGTAAGAGGAGATGACAGATTTAAAAGGTGTACAGTCACGGTGTCATTAAGTGATTATAAATGCACATAATAATATATTGTTCGTCAAACAAATATGTATGGTAACAAAGATCAATATGTACAAAAATGACCTATAACAGCAAATAATAAATCAAATAGGTATTTAAATTATTTAAAGGTCCGAATCATACAATTAAATAAATTTAACTTCAAATATATTTAACAAGTATAACATTTACATTTACAGACTACATCAACTATGGGGAGACTTTATCCTGTTTACCTCTGAAGAAGTCAATTCATCATGGTGTGGAAAACCTGGAAATCCGTGTGTTAACTGTTCATATCAGGTGGTTGGTTACGATGACAACAACACATGTGCTGATAGACTGATGAACTCAGATCTTGCTACTTCTGTTACTAGACTTGCTAAATTCGTAGAAGCTGAATGGCCTGACAGTAAATATTAAATGTCAAATGATCTCGATGTAATAGATTTACTTACCTGATTCGGGTCTAATTTATCGTTGTATAAAATGTCATTTCATTAGGAGCTATATAATTTCACAGTTTCGTTTTTAACTCATTTCTATTTATCTAGCAATACTTAGAATAAGCCTATAATCACAGAGGAATCTTCTTTCAACATGACCTTTGTATTTCATTTCCAAATATTGTCAACATAATTACTCCTTTGTACAATCAACGATAATTCTATACGAAATAAAAATTATTTTTAACGCCGATTCTCAAAAGATAAATAAAATAATGCAGTTTTGATATAATATGTTATTTAAATTGTGTAGTAATAGATGTACAGTGGTATAGCACCGGTAATAAACACTTTTATACAATAAGATTTGTTTTCTGCTAGGAAAGCTAATTGTCAAAGAAGCTTGGGATGAGCCAACATCAGATTTTCCAGACAGGAAACATGGAAGTACATCGGTTTTCTCCGAAGGAAGAGCCGCTAAAGTTGCTATTTCGAAACCATTTTCCAAGAAAGAAAATGGGTTTCCACCAGTCGAAACAGATGCATTTATACTTCAAAGGTTGAGTGAACTTGCTGTATGTTCGAATTTTGCCTACGTGAAAACAGAAAACTCAAGCATATCTATGTGTGTAAAGAAGAAAGTCCAATCTACTGTAAAGAAACGCTCGATTTTATCCCGTACAAGGCGGTCAGGTCACGTTGAGCACTCAATGGTCAGAGACATGCTTGAAAATCTTGGTGAGATTGGCTAAAATAATTTTAGATATTTTATAATCGCATATTATAATTATTTGCATATTGCAATTGTCAGGACATTGCTTACGTAGGAAGACTTTTTATAATACTATATATGTAATTAAATTGATAATATTCAAAATGTTAGTCATTGAAAAATTGATATCATTACAGATTTCGAAATAATATGACTGCTAGTTATCACTTAATAAAAGAAATAGTGTAAATATCTGGAAAGAAATTTAGTATTGTAAACAGTCTAGAATTTAATTAGCGCGGACTTTATGTAATAGAATAGACTCAAATTTCCCTTGAGACGGTTTGCCCAGGCACTGTTTATAAATGAATTGAATATAAGCAAGATTCTATGAAAATCATAATGGTACAGTATCCCAGCATGCACAGCTGACTTGCACTTTTACCTAATGCGGCGCATTTTCTTTCTTTGATTATTTTCATATTTTTCACCATTATGCCATAAAATTGTTGTAAGATAAGTAAAGAAATATAGGTGCCAAAGAGAGATATCTTTCTTTATTTTTTCAGAATTTTAAGGCGTCGTTACTTTGTTGTACTTTGCTGACTTAAGTCGAAAGTTAAGAAATTTATATATGCTAAAGGGAGATAGTCTTCATATTACTGAATTTAAGTAATGCCATCGGGAAGAAAGCTTAAATGGAAAAGAAAGGAAAATGTGTCCCGATTACACTGAAAGCCCTTTTTCATAAGCTGAAATAAATAATAAAGATTGCCACACCATGGTAAGCATTATATGTGAAATTTGTAAAATTTCCAGGAAAAGCCGTGCGCAAATCTTTGGGAGATTTAGGGACGGCGCCAACACTTTCAGTTGGCAAGAGTTATCCCTATGGAATAAAGATGAAAGAGGCTTGTGGTGCATTTATTGGTAAAGTTTCCCAGGATGATGAACCAAGATTTAAACGGTACAAATAAATATAGAAATCATTGTACTAATGACGTAGAAAAAGTAACATTGTGCTTTTTCAAATATATTTAATATTCAAAAACAGTCTGAAAATTTACAAATTACGATGCATTTTTGCAACTGAACATTTGCATTGTTAAAAGACAAACGTGAAATATGATAAGTATTAAAGGTTTTTGTGGTTTATCAAACATCAAGAAATATTCCCTGTCTTGAGTATGTCATAAATTATAAATATATCGTTTGAATTTAAGGCTGATTGAATACCCATTGTCTGATGTAGAGTTTGAACGTGAAGGATCGCCTGATTCGTGGTGTGGTGTAGAAACTAGACAGTGTCAAGAATGCAGTGTGGCCTCGGACGATTTATCTGACCACTGGACATGGTGTGGAACTCGAACCATGCATATGAGATTAGCTGTACGCTTACAGAGACTTGTTGTTATTGCAAACGGGCATGGTAAACCATTTTAAAACATAAATGCAATAAATGCAATTTTCAATGACAAAAGGCTTTTTGAAATATAATATGAGGATTCGCAGCTTTTATAGAAAAACTTATTGAATATTCAATTAAAATGGCTTTATATTGAAGACATTCCCTTATTGACGGACCTAATACTTTTTTGTCTAATATTAATATTTTGAATACCTTTGTGTGTCAATGATTAATTTCAGTAAGAGTTGAAAAGGCACTTTCATTGAATACTAGTGACGGATCTTCCAGTTTGTTTATGGAAGGGAGGTAAACATATTACAATAGTAGTTCCGCCTCATTTTAAGTTAAAGAAGATATGTGATTATATATATGAGAGCATACAATGTTTAAATCATATAAAAGAATATTTTATATAATAATATGACACAATACAAATATTACATTGAATCATAAAAAGCAAATTACTATGAAATTAATATTCTGCAACATTTCGGATTTTTCCGTTTTAGCGTTCTTTATATTTTTTCCATTTTTTCTCTATTTTATTAAACCAACAAAAATTTAAGATTGCACGAATAAAAAAAATATAAACACTTCAGGGCAGCAAGAATAAGTTTATCACCAGGATCAACGCTGACCATGGCTCAGTTTGCATCTAAAGCAATTCTTGCTGGATTTGATTATGTATCATATACCTCACCAGACTATCTAGATGTTTGTGTCAAGGTACAAGATGGCATTCAAACACACATTGTGCAATTCCCATTGGTTAATCTTATTGGAGTTCCACTTCCGCTCGGCGAGGAAGATGAATATGATTACCCAGAACCCTTAAAGAATGAATCAAGGAAACCTTTGTTGTTTGACGTTTCCACAAGTTCTAATGCCATCGCAGAGCATTTCCGATTGAGCAATTTTGTAAGCCCGGGCAAGCGCTTTATTAGACTTGACTCTGTTTTAGTCAGTCTTCTCGACTTAGGATTTAAAGCTTTTGCTGGTGGATTTTACGTCATTTCCGGTTCTGGATACAGACCAAGGTCAGTAAATTTGGACAACATAGGAACACGACACGATAAAGAGAAACTTCGATTTGAAATGGGACAAGCTGTTGAAATAAAGCCAAACAAACCAGCTAATGTTGACAGTCTTTTTGATCTTGCAATAGCCATGATTATAGTAGCAAAAACTATTCGTATGCAGCGCATAGGCATAGGCATCGGTACTAAACCTGACAGGTTATATTTTGAACTTAGACCAATGACTGAGGAAGACAATAAATCATTGGAAGTTTGGGACAGTGGAAACTCAATTTTATTCCAGAAATTAAATGAAATAGCGACATTAATTTATAAAGGTAGCAAATATTATATCAATCTTACAAAATACAGTAATGCTATTTTAATGCGATTAAAAAGTTAAACAGAAATTATTGTACTGTGTTTTCTACACTTAGATGAAACGTGATTATGTTTTAGCATATGGAAAATAGAAAAAAAATCAAAATATTTTTGTTTAATTTGTATTAAATAGAATGCATCAGTTTATACACTGTTTTATTAAAGCCTTTTATTGAATTGTATTTATTTAAGGAGGCACAGTTGTTTATGCCAGAGAAGACGCTGTTATTTGCAACAAACCAGCATTAGGAGATAATTATTTTTACTTTAATTTCGATCTTGACCAGGAAGGGTATGTTTAAATTGATTCACGACAGTTCTTCTCAAATTCAATTTACACATAATTCTTCATATAACTCTGTGATTTTGTATTGATTAACTAGTTTTTAAATTGTATTCTGAAAACATTGTATATTCTCAATCTTATGCATTTAATATTTACAATTAAATGTTGCAACAATAATTTTTTTATAAAACAAAAAGGGAAACGTTTCGATTATATGTATTTCATTATGAATTTAGGTATTGCTGGGTAGCAAAAGATGACTTTTGCTCCAAAACAAACGAACATCGTTACAATATCAGCCTCGTTCTGCAAAGGCGATTGACGTCTGCTGCTGGCACTGGAAAACTACCGCGAAAAGATATTCAACCTGAAATAGAAGACTGTGTTGTAAACACGTGCGGAGGATGTCCGAGTGCCGGTAACACTCTTAATTCTGACGATTCATGATTTTGTATATTTAATGTAGTGTGGACGTTTGATATTATTTTTCAAGAAAATACTGTACTGTTGTATTATAGGTAATCCGAAACTGATGAATTTCAAGTAGATGTAAAATAGCCCTTAATTTGCTATATCAAATGAAATACATACCTGAAGTGAATGCATCTCAAAATAAATATAACTGAAAATAAAATAATTCAAAGGATATAAGAAAATGAATATATATGCTTTTATATGTACATGTTTGTATATCTGCAGGTGCTATATGGAAGCAAAAGGTTATCAAATGTACTGAAATGATTCTACGATATTTAGAGCGGGCAAGCACGCCATTTCAGCCTTTGAAAGATAAGGTTTCGGTATTTAATACAGAAAATCATGAGTCAGCCGTGCATTCACAAGCCTGCCATGACGGCAAAATATGTATTGAAAATACACAGATATATTCCCTGTTGAGTAAGTAAGAACTAATTATGAAATATGCGGTGTTATTGTTGTTTGACAATACAAATATGATGTCAAGATAGTCATTTGTGTGTTCTAATAAAAACATTATGTTAAAGTGTTTTTTTTAACCATATGCATATGAAAATTATTTCCCTTTGTTAAGAAAAAGGGATAATACATGTATCTGACTATGTATCAGGTATTTAAATCCTGGTCAACGTTAAATCATCCCTCAAGAGTATTCAATGTTGCTAATTTGAGAACTAAAATCAACAAGGAAAGGCGAAATTTAATAAACGCATCTACCAATAATACATTCACAAGACCATGAGCAAAGAACTCTTTAGGAAGCAAGGACGGGCGATATTATTAACAATTTAATAAAGAAAATCATAGAAAAGCCAATAAACACATTAGAGAACGCAGTTAGTGAAAATGACTGACAAACAGACATGGAAAATACGGGCAAAGGGACTGGAGGGCCAAGGAGTGAGCAAAACTCCTTATTAAAAAAAAACATATATCTTAAAGAACACAGACTGGTACCGCCTCTTTACGGTCAGCAGCAAATACATTACTGGGGAATTAAACTGGTTAGTGGTACACCAAACCTCATTTTAACCACAAACATTAAAATGTATCTCCGCCAAGCGAAATTTTAACAGTAGTTATGGCTACAAACGTTGGAAAGTATAAAATACAGAAATAATTGTGCAGATACATATAAAAAGACCCTACGACCATACCAATATTATTAAATATCTCAAAAGATGACAGCAGCAAGAAAATAACCTTCAAGCGCCCGACTAAACAACACATTCAGTTCCAGTGGGTTTTACTAACTGCCCATTATAGAGACTCCGACTTGTTGCTGTCACATGTAGTGTAGTGTCCAACTGTAAAGGGGTTGAACGCTTAACGTGTTGTAAGCCTTGAAATTGTAGGGTCATAACTTATTTTAATAAATAATTTTAGAAAAGACAGCAATAAAATACTATGACCCAAGTTTCTTAAATCTTATCGCAATAGAAATCAGGTGTACCAATCCCTAACCACAAAAGAGTACAAATCAAAATTAAGTGTGGAAATGACATCGAAATTGTGATTATAAAATTGTGTAATATATTTCCGTAATAGCCCTGTTGAAAAGCCTGCTAGTAATGAAAGTATTACATTTCTTAAAATCACTGACGCGGCTGTATGACTAAGTTGCATGGGGTACATCTCCATTTGTTGATAGTTCACTATACCAAATCCAAAGTCATCTCTCTATTCATAGATGGTCGTGTGAATATTATTTTTATTGACTGAAATATGAATATTCAAAATGGATTTAGTAAAATTCTAAGAATTAATACAGGGATTTTCATTTGATATTGATATTTTACGTATTCCATGAGATCGGCAATCCCGTTTTCGAAAAATAAAATTAGAAAATATATCTATGTTAGAATCTTTTGAACACTTTTATAAGACCACTATAAGATAAAATCATTTTTCTCCCAGTGCCTGTTATAACTGCAACATATAAACATGACAATGCGGACGAACTGTTGTTTGGTGGAGCAGATAACCCGAGTCCTTTGTTGGAAATTGTTGAACAAGAACTCGCTTGGAGAGCCGAGGGAAACGTGGACGCTTACATTGAAAATGCAAAAGATATAAGTGCTCTTAGAAATGTTATAAAGGTATGTGAAAGCATATATAGATGCTTTTCAGAAAAAATAACATTATAACGTTGATGCTTCAATTTCCTATATTATAAAACAGTTCTTGTAAATGCTTCATTGATATATCAAGATGACTTTTACACAAAAACTACGATGAAATTTCAGATATTAATGATGTACAACAAGAAAGTCAATTTTATAACATTTCACCTTGACCCGGCCGCAGACGAAGATGACGTCATCATAACGTTACAACGTCAAGTGGAACAGTGGTCGGGTTCTGTGTGTCCGAAATGGAGCAGGCTAGTTTCAACACCGTACACTTTTATCACAATACCGCATGAAAGGAAAAGACGCAGCTTGGAAAGAAGTAAAGACAGGAACAAAATGAAACTTGAAATGAGAAATTGGGAGGTTGATTGGATGTTTAAATCATAAAAAAAAAAACACTTTTCAATGCCAAGTCGATGTATTGTTAATATCATGCTTTATAAGAGTTATGCGTTTTTATATTTTTATAAACTGTGAACTATGTTGTTTTGATTCTCATGTATTGTGTATGTATGCTTTATAAGACGTTTTTGTTACCTCCCCTGTTTCGGAGAAAAATTCGAGCTATTATGATCGCTTCAGTGTGGTTATTGTTGTCGTCGTTGTGCAAAAACATTTTAACCCATTTTAAAAGGTACAACAAACATGAAACTTAGTAAACTTGCTGGTTATAAAAAGCTGCTGTTGTAAGACAAGGGCGTAATTCTAAAAGCTATATTTTCAGAGTTACGTTTCTTTCTAACTTAAAATTCATGTCAAAACTATGAAAATTATCAAAATAAAACATGGAGAACTTGTTTATCATGACAAGGTTTAGTTGTTAGACAATGTGATTATTCTGAAAAGTATATGTTGATGTTATGTCCCTTTTTAACATAGCTTTGTCAAAATTTGTTTGTTAAATCGAATGATTTTATTACTATTTCTATAAAGATATTAACATGAAACTTGGAATACTCGATAATTATGATAACATGATAATGAAAGATGCATTATTATTAAACCAATATTTTAGAAGACATGTTCCTTTGTAACTTGAATATTTATAAGAATTGTTTGCAGACGAGCGTTAAACACCGCATGCGGTGCTCTTGGTTTACTGTGAGAACTAAGGATATCTTGATTTTCATATATTGTTCATATATTGTTTATGTATGTTTTAAAAAATCTTTATGTTTTTATTACACTGTTAACAATGGTGTCTTAAAATATTTTCATATGGAAATTCATTTCATGTCAGACAATTTGGCCCGCTTTACTGAACTTAAATATTTATACAAGATGTCGATTCAATGAGTTCGATACGTACATAATAACATTTCTATTTTTAGAATGACCAAATGTATTGATATTTCTATGCTAATATTTTTTTTATTTTGCTTGAATTATAATTAAAATATATTATTATTCTAATAAATTTGGCTTTTTTTATGTACATGTTGGTCCGCTTGTAGACAACACTGCTTTGACTAGGATATGACATATTAATTAAGTCCTTGTTGCTGGGACCGAACATTAATGAGACCTTTATTCAACAAATGCTCGATTCTTTGGTTCAAATTAATCATCTTCTAAAAATGTCACGGGGTGAGAAAAATGTGCAGCCTGACCGGGACCCTCGGAATACCGTACCGCGGCTCTACCGACTGAGCTATCCTATATGTCGCTTACACATCTTCTCCCCTATATAGTGAACAGTTCTGAACCTTGACAAAAATATAACTTTGCAAAAATAGTTTCCACTAATTTCATAACTATTACAAAGAACACTGTACAAATATATTGTCTATAAGTGAGGACTAATGCTTGTTGTAGGTAGAGTGTCAGTCTTGGCTTTATCACATAGTAAAGTTTAAATATACACTGTTTACATCTTATGTCACAGCAACTACAAAACAAAAACTGTAGAAATATTTTGTTTATATGTGATGATAAAAAAGAAAAAAATCAGTACATTGTAGTACATCGCAACTAGCCGTAAAATTTGCGAACCGGACAAATGCTAGAAGAAGATGGAGTGTCGCATAGATCTTCAGAGTTTTGACTTTATCACATATGCACTAATAGATCTACATCTTGCATTTATTTGTTCGTATCTTAGCCTGCTGGCAGAAACTTATTTTACGTATGTGACCAGTAGATGAACGTCGGTTCCATCTGATCATGACCTGCACTGTTCGCTATTCATTTAGCACTAACTTTGTTCCCTAAAATGATGACTAGTCTTGTCCAAGACTGCACGTATATTTGATTGTTACTCGAGTGACAAATGTTGAAGTCACATTTTGAATTCAGTAATTCCTTGTGAGTTTATGAAATTCTTTGATTGATTTTGTGTGCGTGTGTGCGTGCGTGTGTGTATGTGTATGTGTATACGGAATGAATCTCATAAACTGTAAAATATTTTGCCCGGATAAGCAGATCAGATAAACACTCGGAAAGTAATGCTGCGATAATCCCACCCCGCGGCTGCCCCCCCCCCCGTCTTAAAATACCTTTTTCTTTAACACAGATAACTAAAGAGACCATTGGTTAATGTTAATAAACTTGACAAAAAAAATGTTTTGTTTGGAATAATATCTGAACAGTCCATTCTGAAAATTTGATTAAATCAAATATACCAATTCATAAATGGTTTAGATCTATGAAAAATGATATTATTCCCATATAGTGATTAAACAGGTGAATGTAAAATTAAGTACATTTTGCAAAAATTCGTTTCTTTTTTATAATTTACTTCGCATGAAAAATAAATAACTCACGTGGCCTAAGGAAATTTCTATAAATATCCGTCGGAAATTACCTGTGACGTTCCTTTTATAAAAGAGTGGGGCAGTCTTTTTATATTTTAGGCAGATATATTATTTATCAATAACAACTCTTAGTCAGTGACCATTATAAACAGTCAATCTTTTGAAATATAAGTCAACAGATGTTATCCGGAACTCGGCAAATTTGGGGTTTTTCTGGGCTAATCCCCCGATACAAACAAACTTTAACTGCTATAGCTTCACGGTGCACTACCGGTCACAATAGATTAGTCAACCTGTTGCGCTTTTTTTCGAAACTGTAACTGTAAAAGTTTGTCTGTACCCCCAGAAAACCCCAGGCAAGTCTATTCAGCTCAACTTGGCAATGAAAAATAATCATAATGTCACATGATGGAATTGTACGGCGGTTTCCAAATAACGTTATATAAAGGTAAAATAAAACAATTTATACAAAAAGAAATAAATCAAAGAAGCCGAGGGCAATATGTAAATGACTTGTTATCACTTAGATATTATGATGTGTAGTGTATCTTATCGTCGACATTTTATCAAACATTGAGGTAGAAAAATAACATAATTAATTTGCCCTCGAGACATTTAAGTTAAATAATTGTTTCCAATTTAGAAAAATAATTTCCCAATGACCTCCAATGAACTGCAAAACGGAAATGAATTGTCTACTATAAGCAATTTATTAGATACAATTTAGAAATGTTCGTTTTTTCAAATACGTTACCCTAAAATATATCATATCTTTAGTTATGTTGATTACAGCGAGTAGTAAACGCTTATTTCACTTGGCACTAAAGCTATATTTTGGATGTTCAATGATATTGTTTATATGGTATGGAAGTAAATTGAAACCTTTACCATCCAATCAGGTAATGGGTTTATTTTTATTCATTAAGTTTTGTGTTATTAGAACTTTTATATTTAGGAAGCATAAAACAAGTAAGTTTTTTAGCCTTGAGAGGCACGTAAACAGAAATCTGATTTTTTTCATCGATATTTCTCAATATTTCATAAATAAATATAATAAATAAACTTATTGTGTCATAAAAATTAAATACAGCTAATATATAAAAGGATTGTAACCGGTTTTATAATTAATTAACATGTGACTTATTAAAATAAGATATTGTTTCTAATCAAGAACGAAATCAGTATTAACAAGTTTTCACATTTTGCAGAATGAAGTTTCTTTAAAGAGATCGGTCTCTGTAATGCTAAGAATATCAATGCACGAGAAAAAGGACGATTTAAACACCAAAAATTATTCGATAACCCAAAAATCTTTCTACAACAAGAACATTTCCAACGGTGCAAATGACGGTAACCTTGAAGAAGAAATGGGAGAAAATCTTGAAGATTATCCAGAGAAGGTGATTGATGTATATCCCGATAATTCAAATGATTCTCGTGCAGATCTTAAAGAAGATGTGAACCACGAAGATATCCTTACAGGAACTAATTCCACAAAGAAAGAAAGACTGATCAAATGGCGTAAATTGATAAAAGAGCAGGTCGCTTTGTATAATCATTCAGTTGTATTTAGAGCAAAAACTGCCGACGTGTTTTACATATCTGCTATTTCTTCTCACATGCGTGGAGACGTTACTAATGAAGTAAGAGATAACTCAATAACGCATACAGTTACAGTAAATGGTTGGAAAGGAAAAAAGGCGAAGACGGGAAAACTATTTTGTTGTTTCAAAGGTAATAATTCAACATCCATCAACGAAGTATCTAAAATAAACTACTGGGATGTCCCTGATATAAAGATAGTTCAAGCAGTTCAGTACCATTGCAATATGTCTGAAGTTCCATTCAAAGGAAAACAAGTTTATGTAGGATTGAATGAAAAACCAACTTGTCAAAATACCGAATACATTCAAGTTGAACCGGAACACAATCCACCTTCTCAGAAAAATGTCTCGTTCGCTGTGTGTGCAAAAATTGTTTATGGAAACTTTTCAGCTCTAAGATTGATGGAATGGTTCGAGGTCAATAAAGCGTTCGGAGTGGATAATATTTCTTTATTTACGTATAATGTTACCAAGGAGATGATAAATGTGTTAAACCATTATCAAAATGAAGGATTTCTACACGTGAAAGAGTTTGATTTTCCATTAAAATGTATGTATCTGTGTCTGTTAATTTAATAAATTATGAGTAATCGTTTATATATAATCTTCAGTCATTATTATATTTAGCTTATCATAATACCTTATACAAAAATAATCAAATATATATAGCTTTGTTTACTTAATTTGAAGCCCATAGACGTCTGTAAAAAAAATTTCTAATACGATAAGATCAAAATTTTATGTCATTTAAACTTTTCGTACACCTGTATTTTTCATAATTCATATATATATATTTATATATAAAATGTTCACTCTAATTTAATATTTTACTTTTATTGACCGATGTGATACAAAATATTTAAATTAACAGCTATGAAGGGCTTCTCTCGATGGTGTTAAATATCTGCACAACAAATTCAATTCCAATTGATTAAAAATACATTGGAACCGCACTGACAGTGCACATGTTAATTAAAGTTTCCTTGAATTTGTTATTTGTGCATGCATTAAATGAAACATTTCAAATACTAAAAATCACTTAAAACCTCTTCTTTTCAGCGCGATTTCCACGCTTTCTTGGCCAGAAGTACATGATGGCGTATATGGATGAACAAGTAACGGTGTTTGACTGTATCCAAAGGTTTCGACAATACACATACATAGCTATTATTGATGTTGATGAATTCATCATGCCTAAATTTGGACAAACAAGCTATAAAATTATGATGGTAATAATATTGTTAAAAAGAAAATGCTTTTTATTATTTTCATATTTTATTATTATGAAGATTTATATGCCGCTGTTCTGACGTTTAACTGACAAAGGTTACCGCGCTGTAACATGATCCAATACCAAAATGTTCGGAAAAAACTTAGCTATATATGCACACAATTAGAGTTAATATAACAATACCATAAATCTTTAACCACACTACAGTTATCACGGCAGTTATTTATATGTTGTCATGTTTTAGCCAGACAAACGCAACATAACTATGTCTCTGCCTTTTTATCATGGCACATTTTGTCTTAGAAGCAAATAAATCTTTAAAATTTTGGAAAAGGCAAACATAAATTTCATAAAGTATAAATAATGGTTAAGAGCATGTAAGATGCCTGTTACCTGTAGAAAGTAGCACTAAATACAAAATTAATTGTTTTAAAAGAAGCGAAATGTAAACAAATTGGTATTTTAGCTTCCATACAAAGAACTAAATCACTATTAATGTATTAATTATCAAAATAGTAACAGAAAAAAAGATAAATCAGGCATTTGGCCGATGAGTATCTTTTTGGAAACTATAAAAGTACATCAAAAATAAAAAGCTTTAGAGAAATAAAAGCATTTCTGGTGCATAATGGGCCTTGTATAGATTTTGAATTACTGAGTAAACATTATCATTAGTTTTATATGTAAACATAATTCATCTATTATCAGGAAAAACTGTTGGGAGAGTACAAGAACGCTGCAGGGTTCACTCTAATGACCTCTCTGTTTGTAATGGATTGGAATAAAACCTTCCAGAACGCCGATTTTACAATTGGGGCTTATACATTGAGAACACATCCTATCTGGGATAGACGAAAGAGTATATTAGTAACAGAAAGAATAGACCTGTCATCCGTCTGGACTCATGGTTTCCACAGTTTGAAAGACTATAATCGGTATGTGCCAATATATAAATTAGTACCTCTTTCGTTGTAAAACCACTGCTCTTCGAGAACTTTTTCTACTGTCCTATTCACAATAGTTTACTAACATTTATGTATATGTTTAATTGTTTATGTGAATTGTTAAACAAATGTTCAAGAAAATTACATTAGGTTTCAAAATATTCATTTCTTTGTAACAAATAATTACAGACAAATTTTTGATTTCTATATAAGTACAGTGTACTATTCATTCATTTATTCATTTCTATGTAAAATATAATATAACATTCATTCATTCATTCATTCATTCATTCATTCATTCATTCATTCATTTACATTACATTTTCATTTATATTTCATTTATCTATTTATTTATTTATTTATTTATTTATTTATTTATAAAATTTATTTATTAAATTTATTTATTTATTTATTTTATTTTATTTTATTTTATTTTATTTTATTTTATTTTATTTATTTATTTATTTATTTATTTATTTATTTGAAGGGTACCTTTGTTTTCGAAATCTGCTGTGATATACCACTACCGGAAGTGTCGGTCACAATGGATAGCAACTGACACGTGTTTCACCAACCGACGCAAATACAAAGATGCTACTATGAAAGTGTATTTAGGCAGAATCAGGGATAAACTTTTAGAGATGAAAAAAACGTTACATCTTTCTTAGTATATATTTACTAGTATTTATGTATAGAGTTCTATCCAGGCGTTTAAGTACTCATAATAGAACAGTCTGCAAATTGTAGACAATATATTAAACATATAAGTTAAAGAATTGTTCACATGTTGCATCTGTCATACATGTATATCGCTATGTTTATTTGCATTACATTAATGCATTATTTATATCTTAAAGTATCATTATTTTGATAATTAAAAGCGTTTATGTTATACATAGAATTATGTTATGTCGTTTTTACGAAAAAATAAGTCCGTCCAATTTAAAATACCCCTTCTTTTAGTGTTTTATTACCAATTACTCTCTGAACTAATAGCCCGGAACTATTGTTGGTATTAAACGACCTTCATATATCAATTAAGTCAAATGAAACTTAAAATTTAAACGCATGTACAAAATAACGATTTTCGTCCTAATACCCTGTACAAAATCATTGTCAATGTCTGCATGTGAAATTTTTCTTAAAAGTTGTATAATTCGAATAATTTTCATGTAAGAACCAATACTTTTTAGGGTAGTCAATGAATCCTTTCCCTCATGATCATATTGCGAAAAATGGCCGTTTTCAATGAAAAGCTTCCTGTTACAAGTTCAAACTGCTATGAAACTATGAAAAATGCTTCAATACTAATCAAACTTGGCACAAATGTTGACTGGACCATTGCCTTTGTAACAACATGCTCAGGTTTAAATTTCATGTTACCATGACAGCGAGGGGACATCTGAAAATTGCCAAAACTTACTATTTTGCGTTGATTTCTTTCCATCAAAATTGATTTCAAAGTGCAGCAACTTCTCAATGGATTGAGATAGAGTCAAAGGCTTTTCCGTGTTGGTTACACATTACCTTATGATCGACCTGGGGTCATTTTAGCCTCTCTAAAGTCCAAAATTTTCTTGGCGATGAGGGGGACCACCGCCCCCCTTCAAAACCCCCAAACAGAAGGGGGCACATCCCCTTCTGGCAACCCATAATGCACCTTTTGGATGAGGAGCGGCGCCGAAAAAGTGGTCACTTTTTTAATCAACATTTCCACCATCGAAAAACAGTGTTTGTGGACTAAATAGGGTAATTTTTACTATTTCAGGCCTCAAAAGGGGGGGGGGGGTCGAAAAGCCGTCAAAACACGTCTATATGAAGTAAAAGGTTAACGAGTAACTGCCCGGCGAATGAAACGTATCAGAACTTACTTATGTCAGAGTAGCGTAGAGCATATTGGATAGCATGTACGAGCGTTAGCCGAAAATCATCCGTTAATTCTAACATATCAGACAGGATTTTCCGCTATAAATTTACACTAGATCTAAAAAACACATCTTATACCGTCATGTGCTTTAATTACTTAAAAAAACCGGGTGCATATCATTTAATAGCCGAAGTATTCAAACACACTTTTGATATAATTTCGCTTTTTTACTTCAGTTGTATAATAAATTATTCACCGAAGGTTTCTTCACATAAAGTTCGCAACAAAGTATAATAGTTTCGATTTTCAAAAGAGGAACAGCTGGGCCAAAAAAACTTTCGTTGCACATTGAATAATATTTTATCAAAAATATATTCTGAGATGCTAATAACTAGACTTACTAAATGGGCAGACAAAAATTCAGATTACATAGATAACCAATATGATTTTAAAAAATCTAAATCAGCCCATGAGTGTGTATTCATTTTCATGCTATTATATCGAAAACATCATCAATGAAAAAGAAACTGTATGCTGGGGGAATAGATCGAGTGAGTTTGTGACAAAAATTAATTCACATAACTTATTACAGCTAATAAGTGTACTTAGTTGTAAAATCTGTAATCCTGTATAATTCTATGAATCCCGTAACATCTTTTATTGGAATAAAGCAGTGAGACCCAGCATACTCTTTTTTTCCTGAATGATATTGTAGAAAATATTATTACAAATGTAGTAACTAAATGGTATTTTAAGTATTGATGACGTAAAAATATTTTAATGATTATTCGCTGACGGTGCATTATTTGCACATGATCCTCAATCTCTACAATCAGTACTGAATGGCACAGGCTAACTATAATACAGTCATGGAGATAATGATATTCGAAAACGGTCGTCACACATCGTATGACTTTTTTTATATTATGTAACTCGCGAATTTAAACCGTTCAGTCATTTAAATATCTTGGCGTGGGATTTAGTATCACACGCAACAGACTATCTCTCAACATGCTCGGTTTTCTTTCCATAATTTATTCATTGTTCACAACCAATAAGAACTACCTTTATCCCATTTTTTTTATTTTCTTGTAATTATTGTGCGGAAGTAAGGGGTCACGCTGGAGCAGATATTGAGAATGTACATACGAAATTAAATTTTGTAGGAAAGTTCTATAGGTAAAACGCTCTAAAACGTATATTTTTTTCAATCTTTGGTCGCTTAAATTCGCTATATCTCTGATATTTGGTCAAGAAGGTAATGTTACAAAGTCTGTCTTAGTACAGGGAGTAAATTTAGTTCAAACATTAGGCCCTATTATTTAATATGGATTTTTTGGCGTTGTGATATCTTTTCAATAGTTTACACAAAAATTTTACATAATCAAATTTGAGCCATGTCAGATCTGATCAGGATCCATGCTGTTCGCTATCAGTTTCTCTACTTGTAATAGGGTTTGTAAGCGAACATCATGGATCCTGATCAGACTGCGCGGATGCGCAGGCTGGTCTGGATCCATGCTGGTCGCAAACGCATTATGTTGGTTTTGTCATGACGCGGCTCATTTATCTTAAAATTGTGATATTGATACGTACCTATTAATGAAGAAGATCACCTGATAAAAAAGGTAACGTGAACGATGTACATGTACGTAATTATAAAGAAAAAATATGGTCATTACTAAGATCAAAAGTAATTGTTGTCGCAGCACTAAACTTAACCGGTGAGTATTGGTAAGTATTACGTATGTCACCTATGATTGGCTATCGCCCATTTAACTCTGCAAATATGATAAAAAAATGTTTCAGTGTAGTCAAACAATATTTTATTATATGAATATATATAAAATTAATATACAAAGATACTTAAAATATACTATTTAACTAAGACCATATATGCATACGTACGTAATATTTAGGCCCACTGCACGATGACATGTGTATCACAAGCAGCTGCTACCAGTAAAGAGCCAATATTTATAGCCCGATATACATTATATAGCACCAGTTTTATTTTTTAATTTCTTATAACCTTTTTATTTGTGGATCGATTTTTTTATCCTTATATTACGTGAAAATTCTTTAAATTCTTATTTTGGAAATATAAGCGGATTTTCATTTTTTTTACTCTTTAAAAAGAAAAATCAGCTATTTTTCAACTGTATTTTCAAAAGCTTTTTAGCACCAAGTTTAACACTTTACCAACTCAAAAGGAAAAAGTTTTTATTTTTTTATTTTTTGCTGTACTGTATAAAATATGAGTTTACAGACCTTTCTAATGATGTAAAATATCAAAATGTTTCTTGAAAGATAACTTTGATATAAAATTACTAAATTTATCATTTTATCAGCCGCCATATATTTTGCCAACCATTCACAAGTTACCTGTACAGTATATTGCATTTTACTGACTCAGAAATTCTGTTCATAGGCCAAAAGATTCTACGAATGAAACTAAATATGCGTTTTTAGTGTCGTATGACCGCAATATATCTGTCTGACCTTCGGAATTTACCAGGAACCAACCAAACAGGGAACCAATTTTGCGGGAAAAATACTAAATACTGAAATTTAACTTGTTTGTCTTATCTTGCGTTCAAAATACAAGTAAAACTGGTGTAAGTTTTCAAATTCCTATGACAAAGACGAATTTATACATTTACTATGTGAAGAGTTCTGTTTGTTTCTTTTAAATTCAGTTATGGAAAGTTTATTTAAATATGTAACTAGATTTCGCGATCATGTATGTAATATGCCTACTTGATAATTGCAGATGTTTGTTACATGGGTACACATTTTTATGCATTTACTTGGAGTTCATTTTTAGACTCCTGAAAGCACTCCTGAAATCTCCCTTTCTATATAAATTAAATCAAAATAATGCTTAATTCAGGGTTTTCTGAAATTTTTAACTTGCACACATGTTGTTATGCACGAAAAATTATCTGCATATAATGTTATGAACCTGGTCATCCCTCCGTCTGTTAGCAGGTTTCGGTCTGCATCTCTTGCACCATAGGAAGGAATTTGATGATTGTTTGTCTCTTCTCTTGACTGGGCCCCTCTTGTAAAGATTCAACTTGGCCCTATACCAACCACAGGCAATCGGTGCGTGGCTAGGATAGTATACATGTACATGACCACGCCCACTTATTTTTTTATAAATATTTTTTTTTCTTATTAATAAAATATTTTTTCATTCAAAATGTTTTTAAAATATCTTATTTTCAATAAATCAACAAAGAAATTTTTTTTAAAAAAAATTCATCCATATATACTATTAATATAGTAAAGGTAGAAAGGTTCGCCAGCGGACCTACCACCAGGCCTTATGTTACCTCCCAGATCTTTGTTAATTGTCAACCAATTTTCACCAAATAAAGTGCAATCTACGCAGAAATGATTTCTCTTTCGAAAAATGTACAATATTAGAACAGTTGGTACGACAAAAGATGGAATTTTAAAGCAAAAATGCACTTTTTGTCTAGGTCGGCCATCGCATGACCGAGCCGAAAGTAGACGATTTTGAACATAAATCGATCTTTTTCTTAATAACAAACTAATGTCAGTGCATGCAAACAGTTGAAATAGAAAAGGCAGCTATAATACTATCGCTCACCGGTCCAAAGTAAATCCAAAACGTCTGCAGGTACGCACTTTCAGTAGTTATTTGCACTAACTTTTTAAATTTCCCGACATTGTACATGTATACAAATTCTGATCCGGATATTCAAAGTACGCATGCTCGGTTCCCGCTGGTACCCAGCTTCGCTCAATTTTTATTATGCGAAAAGCGGTACGCATCAGGTACATCCGGGTCAGCATTTGTATACATGTAATGTCAGGGAATTTAAAAAGTTAGTGCAAATAACTACCGAAAGTGCGTACCTACAGACGTTTTGGATTAACTTTGGACCGGTAAGCGATAGTATTATAGCTGCCCTTTCTGTTTCAACTGTTTGCATGCACTGACATTAGTTTGTTATTTAGAAAAAGATCGATTTATGTTCAAAATCGTCTACTTTCGGCTCGGTCATGCGATGGCCGACCTAGACAAAAAGTGCATTTTTGCTTTAAAATTCCATCTTTTGTCGTACCAACTGTTCTAATATTGTACATTTTTCGAAAGAGAAATCATTTCTGCGTAGATTGCACTTTATTTGGTGAAAATTGGTTGACAATTAACAAAGATCTGGGAGGTAACATAAGGCCTGGTGGTAGGTCCGCTGGCGAAACTTTCTACCTTTACTATATTAATAGTATATATGGATGAATTTTTTTTAAAAAAAATTTCTTTGTTGATTTATTGAAAATAAGATATTTTAAAAACATTTTGAATGAAAAAATATTTTATTAATAAGAAAAAAAAATATTTATAAAAAAATAAGTGGGCGTGGTCATGTACATGTATACTATCCTAGCCACGCACCGATTGCCTGTGATACCAACTTGGCATGGGTCAACTTGGCCCACTTATAAAAAAACAAAAAACATTTAGCATATTAACTTTTTTCTGTTTACTTGCATGTTATCAAGGCAAGCTATTTTAAATGAATAATAAGAGATATCTTATATAATTGTACATTGTACTTCTGCAGCATTAAACAGTTAAGTTTATTTAGAAGAAATTCATTAAGTTTATTCATGCAGATTCTTTAAAAATGAATATAATGCAAATGTGTTTCCTTTGATGATTTTTGTTTAAAAAATATGAAATAAAACGTGTTTACTTATTATCAAAAGCTTCTAATTAGTTGCAGGTGGTCATTAATTAAATTTGAATGATCGCGTTCATCATAATTATAACCTGATTAAACTGTACCCTGTCAAACACGTGGTAATTAATTGGTTATAATAGCAATGTACACATTATTTGGTTCCAACAGTAAAGAGTGATAAAACAAACCAATATATTAATAAATTGAAAAGTTGGCCGAGTTGACCTGTGCCGAGTTGGAATAGGACCGAGCTGACTTGGGGGCCCCCGAGTACGTTTTAGGGCCGAGCTGACCATGATGCCTCTGGGGGTAGCAAAAAATACCCAAATATTGCCCAAATATACTAAAAATGAATATTTTGTACTAAAAAAATGCTGTTTTTAATTCTGAATACAAGATGTTCTTTCAGCAAGATATAACCAAACATACCCAAATATAGGCCTACATATTCGTATTGTTGTGTTTTTAACCAAATAAACCCAAATATTGATCTACTCCATTAAAGTTATTCAATGAGTTAAAAATAATATGATGGACATTTGTATGAAATTTCAACAAAATTATACATTTAGTGCCGCTGCTTGACTGGGTTGAAGATTTCTAATGAAAGCTGAAAAGAAATTTTTAAATGTCTTGTCGTACAGTTATGCTGCCATGAGCATTATCAAAGATGAATGATCAATATTAACATCAGAATGATAATATATATAAATTGTTTATTTTAAGATAAACAAACATGGGCAAAAGCAGAAAGTCGAGGGCAGGAGTAGCTGACAGCAGTGGTGAAATAGACGAGGTAGTAATTTCATTGATCGAGACAACCCTTAGAGAAAGACTTGGGTACCGTTCATTGCCACCAGAAATTTGTGGATTTGAAAAAGAAAGAAGGTAATAACTTTAAATGAGCTGTGCCATGACAAAACCAACATATTGCGTTTGCGACCAGCATGGATCCAGACCAGCCTGCTCAGTCTGATCAGGATCCTTGCTGTTAGCTATCAGTTTCTCTACTTGTAATACTTGGTTTGTAAGTGAACAGCATGGATCCTGATCAGACTGCGCATCAGCGCAGGCTGGTCTGGATCCATGCTGGTGGCAAACCCATTATTAAATTAGGATTGCTGGCAGCCATACATTTCAACCATGCAACCAGTACAGACCAAGGTCAATCAGCACATACATGCTGTAGGTTATGGTCTTCACTGTTCAATATTCAGTCATTTCTTTGTTTGAAGTTTCCACTAAAAAGATAAAATATTTTTAGATTGATTAAAAGAAGAATAGTGAGAGCCATTGTACTCACCCTGGTGTCAGTGTCACATTTTGGTTAAAAAAATTCTTGCATTCATGTTGGTATCTCCAAAACTACTGAAGGGATGGGTAAAACTTCACACCTTTGAGAGCACAATTGGAGGTCACTGCACAATGCCCATATTAACTCTAATATGGATTTTAATAGAATTATGGCCATTTTTAACTTTTAAAAATCTATATTATCCAGGCTCTTGTTTTTCTATCAAGCAATGAGAATTGACAGAAATTTTACATTAGAGACAGCTCTTGGCTGGGACTAGGCCAGCCATTATAGAAATCGGAGGGGCGCCTGTGGCCGAGTGGTTAAGGTCGTTGACTTCAAACCACTTGCCCCTCACCACTGTGGGTTCAAATTCCTACAGGGACTTTGGATTCTTTCATGTAAGGAAGCTATCCAGCTAGCTTACTGAACGTCAGTGGTTCTACACAGGTGCCTGTTCGTGCCTGAAATAATGCACAGAAGGGGAACTAAGGTCTTCCTCCACCAGTAAAGCGCGAATGTCGCGATATGACCTATACCGTGTTGATGTGACATAAAAAAAAAAAAAAAAAAAATGAAATCTGAGAATAATGTGTTTCAAATCATCACAACTGAAAATCTCAGAATGGTTGAATCTTCATATTAAATGAGCAGAAATATTGTTACATGTATATTCATATATTGTTGACTTCAATTTTGCCAAAAATAAATTCACCGCATTTGATTTTAATTCCAAAATGATGATAAAGATAATGAATGATATGCATGATATAAATGTCCACTTTTTTATATCAAAATTATAGGAACAATTTTGTTTTTTCCATAGACTTTGCCATTACTGGGGTATGCCTCAAAATTTGGAAAAATTTCTGCCTGGAGCAGCAGATGTTGTAATACTGCAAAATCATTATTATTCATGGCTCACTTATTTTCGTGGTTTCTGTAGATAGGTTACTGCTGTAACATTATTTACATTTTACCATAAAGATACACAGTTCACGAATTTAAGAACCCACAAAAATGTTCTTTGTGACAAAACCACAAATTTTCATGTCCATGAAATTAAGTGAATTCACTGTAAAGTGTATTGTATTTTAGAGAATTGCTGGAGTTGATAAAGAGAACTGTCACATCAGGGGAAAGTAACTCTGTTCTGGTTATTGGTCCTAGAGGAAGTGGAAAGACAATGGTAAGTACAAACACAAGTTTGAATGTATACTATATCTTTTACCAAATTTTGTTAGGCACAAAGCTATTACTTGATGTTATACTTACATTTACAAGGATCTTTATATAAGTGGCATGATTTTAAAGAATATCAAAAAATTGACACCCAACAAAGGATTAAAAAGTAAAATGAGTGATTTCTTTGTTATTAACTTAGCAGCAAATAGGACATGTACAATACAAAGAATATATTTGATTGTTGATATTCATTTAACAGTAGTGTTTGAAACTTATTAGCTTTATTCATAACATTTCTCTATCATGGAATGAATGAATTATTTTTTTTTTCATCTTAAACATTTGTCTGCCAAATGATGTTGCTCTACAGTATAACCAGATTTATTCAGATCTAACCTATAACCAGATTTATTCAGATCTAACCTATAACCAGATTTATTCAGATCTAACCTATAACCAGATTTATTCAGATCTAGCCTATAACCAGAGATTTATTCAGATCTAACCTATAACCAGATTTATTCAGATCTAACCTATAACCAGATTTATTCAGATCTAACCTATAACCAGATTTATTCAGATCTAGCCTATAACCAGATTTATTCAGATCTAGCCTATAACCAGATTTATTCAGATCTAACCTATAACCAGATTTATTCAGATATAACCTATAACCAGATTTATTCAGATCTAACCTATAACCAGATTTATTCAGATCTAATCTATAACCAGATTTATTCAGATCTAACCTATAACCAGATTTATTCAGATCTAGCCTATAACCAGATTTATTCAGATCTAACCTATAACCAGATTTTTTCAGATCTAACCTATAACCAGATTTATTCAGATCTAACCCATAACCAGATTTATTCAGATCTAACCAATTTCCACATCTTCTATACCTGACACTTTATCATGTACACTGCTGATGTCTATGTTGTCAAATAAACAAATGTTATTCACTTTCAGCTAATTAAAAGTGTACTAAAGGAACTTCTCCAGAGTAAAGAAATCAAAGAAAATTTACTGCAAGTTCATTTAAATGGTATGTTTTTCTTTATTAAAAAAATCTATGGAATTCAGGGTTTTATCTATGTTTAGGTATTGATTTTAATTAAGATAATTGTTCAGCCATTAAGTATGCAGTAAGTAGAAGTCAAAATGAAGTTTAAAGAGTTCTCTTCCACTGTTTACACAGCATAGCAAAATTGTTACAAAAGTCATGTTCATGTAATAGGCTCAGAAATAAAAAGTGCCATATCAAAAGTATACATACCTAACATTCTGTAATTTGGTTTCTTTATTATTAAGTTCATAGATTAAGATGGCTGTTATTATAGTAAAAAAATCATAATTTTTAGCTTGACTATATATAAATTATATAGAGAGCAGTTTTGTCTTCCTAACTGCTTCCAGTATTTTATTTGTCGAGCTTCCCTGTCGTCTGTTATAGCTCTTGTTTTAGATGTTTTCAGAAAAGGTACACTGATGTATGGATAAATTGGTTAATAATTGTCCTATTTTAGGTTTGCTACAGACAAATGATAAAATAGCTTTAAAAGAGATCACTAGACAGCTGCATCTAGAAAACACAGTTGGTGATAAAGTATTTGTAAGTAATTTTAACTTTATTGTCAAAGAAAGCATATTTCAAAAAATGGTAAATCCAAAATCGACAAGACATAACATTCTCATATGAGCTTAATAAGTATTTGAGCCATGTCACGACAAAACCAACATAGTGGGTTTGCGACCGGCATGGATCCAGACCAGCCTGCGCTTACGCGCAGTCTGATCAGGATCCATGCTGTTCGCTATCAGTTTCTGTACTTGTAATAGGGCTTTAAAGGGAACAGCATGGATCCTGATCAGACTGCGCGGATGCGCAGACTGGTCTGGATCCATGGTGGTCGCAAACGCACTATGTTGGTTTTGTCGTGACGCGTCTCATTTATTTATTTATTTTTCAGTTACCTGGTAGAGAGTATGCCATTTTTGACCGAAGAATGCTTGAAAAATCTCTACACATACCAGATTTGTTTTAATGGTTTCAGTGCCAGATAGTAAAAATATTGTACTGTAGGTCTTGTAACTTTAGATATGACATTAAATTTTGTCATACATGCCATAATTTCACAAACATCTGGGATATTGTCCCAGAAGTCAGATTAGCTATAAAAACTATACTGCTTATCTATAGGTGAAAGAAATTGGCGAATGTTTCAGCAGTTTTGACCAAAAATAATCGCATATTAATGGCATATTGTCCATACCTAACATAGCCTTATGCTATTGTTTGACTGATTAAAGTTATATACCCTTATTATATTGAAAAAAGATTACTTTTGACCTTTTTTTAGCTCACTTGACCGCAAAAAGCACCAGGGATCATTAAGATTTTATAGACTTACATAGGAAAATTACATTTAAGTCTTCTTGTGTGAAATCATAATGCCAAGAGCATAAGCTGAGTGATCAAAGGCCATCATGACCCTCTTGTTTAATTATTTTTATGCCCCCGCCATGTAATGGCCGGGGCATATAGTGTTACCCTGTTCCGTCCTTCCGTCATTCCGTCCTTCCGTCATTCCGTCCTTCCGTCATTCCGTCCTTCCGTCATTCCGTCATTCTGTCATTCCGTCATCATCAGTTTCCGTTCATTATCTTAATAACGGTTGCACATATTCAACTCAAATTTGACATATGGATATGTCATGAGAAAATACAGGTCAAGTTCGAATTTGGTCATGGTTCGATGATTTTTGGCAGAGTTATGCCCCTTTTACTTTAAAAATAATATGAAATTTTCAGTTTCCGTTCATTATCTCCCCAACGGTACAACACATTCAACTCAAATTTGATATATGGATATGTCATGAGAAAATACAGGTCAAGTTCGAATTTGGTCATGGTTCAACGATTTTTGGCAGAGTTATGCCCCTTTTACTTTGAAAATAATATGAAATTTTCAGTTTCCGTTCATTATCTCCCCAACGGTACAACACATTCAACTCAAATTTGACATATGGATATGTCATGAAAAAATACAGGTCAAGTTCGAATTTGGTCATGGTTCGATGATTTTTGGCAGAGTTATGCCCCTTTTACTTTGAAAATAATATGAAATTTTCAGTTTCCGTTCATTATCTCCCCAACGGTACAACACATTCAACTCAAATTTGACATATGGATATGTCATGAGAAAATACAGGTCAAGTTTGAATTTGGTCATGGTTCGATGATTTTTGGCAGAGTTATGCTCCTTTTACTTTGAAAATAATATGAAATTTTCAGTTTCTGTTTATTATCTCCCCAACAGTACAACACATTCAACTCAAATTTGACATATGGATATTTTTTTGGAATGCCAAGGTCAAGTTCGAATTTGGTCATGGTTCAATATTTTTTGGCAGAGTAATGCCCTTTTCACTTTGAAAAAAATATGAAATTTACAGTTTCTGTTCATTATCTACCCAACAGTATTACATATTCAACTCAAATTTGACATATGGATATGTCAAAGGAATGGGCAGGTCAAGTTGGAATTTGGTCATGGTTCGATGATTTTTTGGCAGAGTTATGTCCCTTTCACTTTGAAAATAATATAGATACATCTTAGGAATAGGCAGTTTAAGTTTGAATTTGGTCGTGGTTCAATGATTTTGGACAAACTTATCTTTCTTGAATATTGGAAAAAATTTTGAACTTTCAGTTTCAGCACTCATACTTTTGTGGAAATGTATGTAGCCATTATTTTGGCTACAAATATGAAATATGCTATTTTCAAAAGGATAAGACTGAATAATTTCAGTGCCTTGAACATTGTATGAAAATGGTTTGTGTTAACATTGAAAAGTTTTAAGGGCTTTGAACTTAAAATGAAAACAATAATTTGTGCAAACAAATTTGGAACTAAATATAATAACATCTGAAATTTTGGCTGCATGCGGGGGCATCCGTGGCATGATGACACATTTCTAGTTGAACAATTATTTTACAGGGATCTTTTGCTGAAACGTTGCAGTTCCTTTTAGAAGCTCTGAAAAGTGGTATGTATAAACAAAACAAAAATGTGACTTAAACATCTTTGTTATCAATAATTATATGAGCCGCGCCATGACAAAACTAACATAGTGTGTTTGCGACCAGCATGGATCCAGACCAGCCTGTGCATGCGCGCAGTTTTGATCAGGATCCATGCTGTTCGCTATCAGTTTCTCTACTTGTTTAGGGTTTGTAAGCGAACAGCATGGATCCTGATCAGATTGCGTGGATGTGCAGGCTGGTCTGGATCCATGCTGGTTGCAAATGCACTATGTTGGTTTTTATAAGACGTGGCATTATGAATAAATATATATCTTCACAAAAGAAGTTTTAAAAATTGCAAATGTTTGTAATGTTCAATACATTGGGCAACTGTGTTGTTAATATTACCTATATACATGGCTGCTGTAAAGTTACATATTCATTTTTATAAGAATCAAAGGAAGTAATTAAGCTGTAAAATAATCTTTGTTGATTGTTTTATATATAACTATTTATACGGGATGATTTGAGCTGTCTAAAATTAGTTATACATGTGTCATACATGCCATATTTCCAGCCACCCAGATAGGGGGATTTGGCTTTAAAAAGCAGGGGATTTGGACCAAAAGTAGGGGGATTTTTAAGCAAGCACAAACCAGTCGTAATCTTAAAATGATGCAAACATATAATTAAATTTCCCCCATTTTTGTGTCGCCTCTACGGAGTAGTGGCGACATATAGGGATCACTTCTCCGTCGTCTGTCTGTCTGTCCGTCCGTCCGTCCGTCACAAAACTACTCCTCATAAACTACTGGTGCAATTTCATCCAAACTTTACAGGAATGATCAGTACCAAGTCTAGTTGTGCATATTGTCAGCATTTTCCGGTTCAATGATTTTTGTCAGAGTTATGGCCCTTTAATAATTTTTAATTTTAAAGTTTGTCCGGACTACTTCTCTTATACCACTAATGCAATTTCAATGAAACTTTAAAGGATTAATCTGTAGCTCAAGTCCTTGCGCATATTGCACGGGTTTTCCGGTTGAATGATTTTTGGCCGAGTTATGGCCCTTTGATAAAAAGGTTTCTTTTTCTGTGTGTTGCCAGATACACAAAAGCTTGTCCGGACTACTCCTCATAAACTACTGGTGCAATTTCATCCAAACTTTACAGGAATGATCAGTACCAAGTATAGTTGTGCATATTGTCAGCATTTTCCGGTTCAATGATTTTTGTCAGAGTTATGGCCCTTTAATAATTTTTATTTTTAAAGTTTGTCCGGACTACTTCTCTTATACCACTCATGCAATTTCAATGAAACTTTACAGGATTGAACTGTAGCTCAAGTCCTTGCGCATATTGCACGGGTTTTCCGGTTGAATGATTTTTGGCCGAGTTATGGCCCTTTGATAAAAAGGTGTTGTTTTTTTCTGTGTGTTGCCAGATACGCAAAAGCTTGTCCGGACTACTCCTCATAAACTACTGGTGCAATTTTATCCAAACTTTACAGGAATGATCAGTACCAAGTCTTGTTGTGCACTGCCCGTCTGTCTGTCCGTCTGTCACAAAATTTGTCCCAACATGAAATTGGCCATCATGAGGCGACACATGTGATTACTGATCGCTCTTGTATTATGAAAATGAGCATTTCTACAACATCATTATTTTGATATTTTCCAGTTTTAAGCAAAAATAAATAACAACTAAAACATGTATCCAAAATGTGGTAAGTTAAATTATGTTTATTGGTAAAAATGATGCTTTAATTTTTTTGTTGTTCAAATTTTTGAAAATCGGGGGATTTCGATCCCACGGCGGGAGATCGGGAGACACGGTCAATAATCGGGTTTTTTGTCCCCCGGCGGGGATATGGCATGTATGCAGTGTTACTGGTCTTAATTCTGAGATAGTCTTTATCATAGTACCTTCTGTGTGACCTTTGTGAGGCAGTTTTTTCGAGCTAAAGGCTCCAACCTATCATGGAGATTACATGTATATTTTATATTTTCAGGAAGTCAGTCAAGCAAGCCTATTCTATTTGTTCTGGATGAGTTTGATTTATTTGCATTTCACAGAAATCAGACGTTGTTGTATAATTTGTTTGACATCTCACAGTCGGCTCAAACCCCAATATGTGTTCTTGGTGTAACTTGTAGATTAGTAAGTATCCCTTAGATGTCTTTATTGTTATTTTTCAAAGTAATCCAGGGCTTTTTCACAGGTTGGGGAAGGGGCCCTACCCTTATAATTGTGGGAACATTGAGGTATTTGATAACCACTGCTTGACAGAGTTAACGATTGATTGACAGAGTTAACCACTGTTTGACAGAGATAACCACTGCTTGACAGAGTTAACCCCTTTTAGACTGACTTAACCAATGCTTGACAGAGTTGACCATTGCTTGACAGAGTTAACCACTGTTTGACAGAGTGCTGCTGTCAAATGTAGGACATGGTTGTTAACTTGTTATGCCTGTTTGTCCCAAACCTACTATCCCAGTTTTTGAGCATCAACCACCTTAACTTCTCATTATCATGGTAAGATGGCAGTCTGTGATTCTGATAATGGCACATAAGTATTCCTTCACTAGTTATGGCAGAAAATAGTAATGACTCTAAGTCCAACAAATAATATCTCTCTTTCATTCACATTATTTTAAAGATTATATTTACTTCCCTTGTTTATATTTACTTCCCTTTATTTTAGGATGTAATAGAGTTACTAGAGAAGCGTGTAAAGTCTCGGTTCTCACATCGTCAGCTACACATGTTTAACAGTCTAACATTTATGGAGTATCAGCACTTGTTTACTGTCATATTAAGTTTACAAGATGATTTTCCAGACCAGAAAGTTGCTGCAAACTGGAACAAACATATCAAGGTAAGAGAAAAAACTACCTCATTTTGTGTAAACTTGGCAGCAGTATTTGTTTCTCATGATCTAATTTTATCAGCTGTGCCACTTTCTAAATCCAATATTTATGTCAGTCCATAATGGTATCAGAACGGGCACCTGAGTAGAACCAACGACGTTCCATTAGCTAGCTGGATAGCTTCTTGACATGAAAGAATCCAATATCATAATTATAAGAATTTAAATAATTTTTCTAGGAACTAAGTGAAGATAAGAGTGTTGTTGACATATTACAAAGACAATACGAGTACAGTAAAGATGTTCGTGCCCTTAAACAACTCCTGGTAAGTTATTTCTACAATAATTATTACACTTGATGAGTAACCAAAATCTGTCAGAATTTGAAGTAATATACTCAAGATGTATTTATTGATTAAAAGTAATGAGAGTTCGAACTCTAAAAATGTGTTTCGTTTTATTAAATGTGGTTGAAACATTTTAGGTTTGGTATGTAACATTTACAATAAAAACAAAAGTGACTTGAACTTAGCTTCAAGCATCAAAAAAGTAAACAAATCAAAATTTCTTTAGTAAAGTTTTAATTTTTATCTGATAACTTGAATATCCATAAAATATTTTGCCATGACAAATGAGCCGCGTCACAACAAAACCAACAAAGTGCGTTTGCGAGCAGCATGGTTCCAGACCAGCCTCGCGCAGTCGGATCAGGATGCAGCTGTTCACTTACCAACCCTATTACAAGTAGAGAAACTGATAGCGAACAGCATGGATCCTGATCAGACTGCACAGATGTGCAGGCTGGTCTGGATCCATGCTGGTCGCAAATGCACTATGTTGGTTTTGTCATGACGCGGCTCAAATCATTGTGTACCTGTATCTGTGTCACTTCCATAATTTCAGACATACCCAGTGTGTCATCTAAGTGAAGATAATTCGAAACTGAAGGCAGCAGACTTTCAGGAATCTCAGAGAATGATAACTAATGATTCCAAGGCATCGATGTTACATGGTTAGTGTACACTGTCATTCAGATACAGTATTTATTTTTATAGGAATTTTATGGACATGTAATTCAAGGCCACACACCAAAACCACTCAGTTATAAAATTTATGTAGTCTGTTAAAAGTTGATATTTTATCTGATTAGGGGATTTATTTATTTATTTAGTTATTTTATTTTTTTTTTCTCAGAATATTGTATAAATGTTTAGTGGCCTAATAGTCAAGACATCATGGATGTGCACTTTGAAATATTTGCCCCACACCTTTGTGAAGGTTTTTAAATCCTGCATGGAAACTTCATATTTCTAAAGTATCTAGGATATTCTTACTCTTAGGGTTTTGTCATCAGCAGATGTTTAGAAAGTTTAACAATTACTATGTCAGTAAAATATACATTTAACTAACAAATATGCCCTTGATAGCTGAGTATAAGGCTAACGAAGGAAATAAGCTTTTAACTTAATGGGCAATCCTAGGGTAGCAAAAAACATACTTCTTAATTTTATAAGTATTTTTGTTTCATTTTTGTCTGTTTTATATGTATGTTGATAAATGTGACAATTTTGTATGTGTAATGTATATTTCCATGAGTAAATCAATACAAACTGTTTGAATGGCAACAAATTGTCATCAAAAACATATTTCATTGCCCAGGTGTATAGACCTACACTGCTACCTACAGTACTTAACAGAAATCCTAACAGGTTGTCTTCATAACAGGTACAGAAAGTGGATATATTTACAAAATCAATGTATATTATGAAGAATAAAACTAGATTTCATTTTTTTTTTCAGGAGTATCTATATTAGAGTTGTGTTTGATCATTTCTATGAAACATTTGGGAGATATTTATGATGGTGAACCATTTAACTTTGAAATGGTCTATAAAGGTGAGTCTCTTTTACATTAATATTCTGTATTGTTAAGGTTTTGCTACATAAGTAAAGTCTGTTCTTTTCATATGATATGAAATCCGATCAGTGGGTAAAATGTTTATTTTGTATTTATTCTATAAAAAATGTAAAATCAGAAATTTACTTTAGTTTAGACGCGTAGTCTGTTAAATGTTGATAAGTGTAAGTTATGAACAAAGAGAGGTATTGCTTTATTCAGATGTAACATACCCAACCCATGCTTTGTCTTTTATTGCTAATATTTAAACCTTAACCTGCTGAATTTGTGTAATGGATTTGCCCTGCTTTGAATTTAGAACAGTCCATTCAAATTTTTAAGGGATTTTAATATCAAAATACTAAAACTGAGCTATAGTTTGAAGCCTGTCAGACTGCATGGGTTTGCTGAGCTATAGTTTGTAGCCTGTCAGGCTGCATGGGTTTGCTGAGCTATAGTTTGTAGCCTGTCAGGCTGCATGGGTTTGCAGGCTGGCCTTGGTCTGTACTGGTGGTATAGACTAAATACTTATAGTTTTTTTTGTTTCAGCAGGGTAAGTGTTTAAAATGCATGTTTAAGGTATTATCAGTTATAATTCACCATTTGTTTATGTTTATTTAGAGTATCAGAAATTTTCTCAAAGAAGATCCTCTATGCAAGTATTTGAGAAACCAGTTGTTATGAAAGTGAGTATGCAAATAAAGCAAATATAAGCCTATACTTTATAGAAACATAAATACATGTAGTAAAGTTGCTTTTCAAGTAAGAATATATCCTAGTGTATAAGAAAGTACTCTGTAGTACTTTTTTGTGTGAGGTCATGTGTTGTCTCCCTTATTCAAAGTCACTTGAACAGTTCTTTATCATTTTGATCAAAGTTAAATTAACTGGTTATAATTAAAAACTTCTATGACTGTTAAGAATATATGTTGCATATTTTATTGACAAATTATGTGTTGTTTTTTTTAGAGTGTTTTAGTTTTGAAGATAATAAAACTACTATGTTTTTCAGGCTTTTGAGCATTTGATAGCTTTAGAGCTAGTAAAACCATTAGATAACAGTGGGGGAACAAAGGTTCAGAAAGAATACAGACTTATGTCATTATTAATACATCCTTCACAGATTCTCACTGCACTCCAGAAATATCCTAATTGTCCTACAGAAATAACTCATTGGGCCTCATGTTCTCTCGCTGTATGAAATAGGACTTTATCCAGTGAGATACAGAATTTTATTCAGTGAGATACAGAAATTTATTAAGTGAGATGTAGAAATTTATTCAGTGAGATTAATTCAGTGAGATATAGAAATTTATTCAGTGAGATACATAAATATATTCAGTGAGATACAGAAATTTATTTAGTGTAATTAAGATTTTCATTCAGTGAGACATGGAAATATTCTTTCAGTGAGATATGGAATTTCTTTCAGTGAAATAATGTTTTTCTGTCAGTGAGATTAAGAACTTTATTGAGTGAGATATAGAAATTCATTCAATGGGATACAGAACTTTGTTAAGTAAGATATAGAATTTCATTCAGTTAGGTATAGAACTTCATTCAGTGATGTACAGAACTTCATTCAGTGATATACAGAACTTCATTCAGTGAGATACAGATCTTCATTCAGTGAGGTATAGAACTTCATTCAGTGAGGTAAAGAAACTTCATTCAATGTGCTATAGTACTTCATTCAGTGATATACAGAACTTCATTTAATGAGATACAGATCTTCATTCAGTGAGGTATAGAACTTCATTCAGTGAGATATAGTACTTCATTCAGTGAGATACAGAACTGCTTTCAGTGATATACAGAACTTCATTTAGTGAGATACAGAACTTCATTCAGTGAAATACAGAACTTCATTCAGTGAGATATAGAACTTCATTCAGTAAGATACAGGCAGGAATTCATTTAGTTTGAAATATGTATATTTTTGAATTGTGAAATAAAACTACTTTTACATTCTGGTCAGTGAATAACAATACTTCACTCAGTTTAATATATATATATATATAATCATTCAGTGTTAAATAACATGGGCTGTTTATAGACTGCTTCCTATCAGGAAAACTCATGGAAATCCTGCAGTTTTCCTCTAACATTCAATTTACATCAAGTTTTGTCTTTCCTTTTTGCTACAGTATCGTGTTATTTTTTCCGCAAATTTAATGATCGGGTACCATTCAATGATTCTCTACCTGTGGAAAAAGCCCTGTGCTAATTTATGACTTTCCAGTGCTGTATTGAAGAAAAATGCTTCAGCTTTACAGGAAATGGGAGCCTGAATTTTTACCTGAATTTACCAATGATTGCATACTCTTGATATTATATGATATCATATGTAGTTGATGACATGTTGTTTTTGCTATAAATAAATTAAAAGAAATCTAGTTTAAAGTAATGTCATGTAATTTAGGATGACTAATGTCAACTTACATTATAACTAAAATATTTGTATATTTTTTTATAAAAAAGAATGAACCAGTTAACTTTCATTTAATTTTATGATTTTTGGTTGTGGCTCAAAATTGCTTTATATAGATCTACATGTGTTCATACAATTTAATGTTTATTCTCATCAGTCTTAGATTTGGACAGATTTTGTTTCTGTAAATTCCATATAGATGTGTTAAATTTGAATAAAAAACGTAAAATTGTAATATTTGATTAAATTTTTGCCCCACCAAAGAAAAAAATTCTTTTGTTTGCCTACAGCTTAATAAAATATTGATATAAGGTCACCACAAACTTACTGCCCACACACTGGAGTAAATCATATACAGGTACATTGTATTTGATTTGTCATAATAACAAGCATCTGATTTTTAGGTTGACTATCTTAAGAATTTAAAGCTATCCTACTCATTTTGGATGATATTTGGTTAAAGTTGCAACGTTTCTCAATAGTGTCGGCGGGAATTCTTTTAAAACGTCACATTGCCTTTCCATCACTTACCATTGATTCCAACACATGCTAGTTTTTATGCTAAAATCAACTTAAGCCGAGATTCGGAAATTTAATGTTTTAAGTGTATATGTGATTAAATAAAATACATTTTAAAGGTGCCTAAATGTAAGGAGTGCATATCATGACCGTCACATGTTTGATCGTGAGATTTGCTAGAACACCTACAGAAGTTAAGAAGTACCTTGAATTTAGATCAATTAGTTTGTGGAAATATATGCTAGTAAAGTTGAACCACAATCAGAAACAAGATGGTTTAAATCGCATATAAACGTCCGCCTTTACACGACTGAATTAGACCTTTTTAATACTAACATACACAAATTAAAACACATTTGTATGAGCACAAATTGTCCCGAGAAGTATTATTTATTATAATTGGGGAAGATAAAATGCCCCACTTTGTCTTAAATCTGCGTCATGATAGAAATGGCTAAAAATCTCGTTCGCACTCGGTGCTTTTCAAATACAATCGTTGGATAGCAGGAATGACGGACATTTCAGAGGAGATTCAAAGAGGGGAAAACTGGGATCGACGGAGAGTAACGTACTCCGCGATGTAGGTGTGACGAGATACGGATTGATAGACATAGAAGCGGGGTACAGAGAGTAACACACGCTGCAGAGAAGCTGCGTGCATTTGAAAGAGATGATGAAGGGGAGATAGTAACTAACAATGCAGTGCCGAGGATATAGAGGAAATGAAAATGCAGAGAAGTTAAGGTAAATGACAAACATAGCTGCGGAGATTAAGATAGATGGATAATGCACATGAGACACTGAGACTGAATGGTTTTGCAGATGAGATGTTTAGAGTGACGGATAATGCGGAAGAAAGCTACGAACGTTTCGTTGGGAGATACGGAGAGCGACGGATAATGTCGATTTTGTAACTACCGGCGGGCTTCCAAAGATGTTTGAATGACAGATCATAAACACCGGACGCAGTGATAGAGTATGACAATGTGGCTACATATCCAGTGAATTTGAGTTCGATCCCCTCCAGTCAACTAAATGTACCTATTGTCGTCGTTGAGATTTTAAAGATTTGAGCTTCGTTTAATACTGCACCTTAATAAACCACTTGTTTCTTCTTTCAACATCACTTGCACTGTCCTCAAAAATACAATGAGTACTTCGGGAGCGAGTCGCTCATATGGGACTATTTATTAACGTATATCGCAACAGAGACATATTAATGCCCCTGATCATAAAGTACTGAGAAGAAAAGAGTCGGATACACACCATTAATCAAGCACTTATTAATCCGGGTAAAATAAAATAAAAAAAATCGTCGGATATATCAATAAAGTTATCAAAACATCGACTTGTATATATATGTAAAACCTTATAGCTAGCCAGATGAGAAAATAATCTTAATTGGGTAGGTGGGTAATAAATGATCAAAAGAGCTGAAGTCTTTGTGCTAATGTGTTGTTACACAAACGACCACTTAAATGTGTTGTAAGGTTTTAATTGGATTAAATAGCTAGAAGGTTTAGAAGTGGAACAGATACGACATCTCCAGTGTAGCCGAAAAACACCAACATATTCTTTTATTTTTTCGCAACAGACCGAAAAATGTGACTCCACTATAAAGGAAATTTGTACGGGTATAAAAGCTTTTTAAATCCACCGAGCTATTTATTTGGTGATTGTATTTTGTAACGTTGGTAACCGTACTTTGTATGTTACGTAATTCTAAAGTCGCCATAAGGAATGATAAAATTTTGCTTCATATATAAAGGGATAATAACACGTATTTAAAACCTGAACCCGAATTATTGGCACATTAGTTAAGTTAATTAAAGGAATATTATATGATTTCGGATTCGTTAGTGCTGGAAGATGCTGGTAATTATGGAAACGTATATGGTACACCCTGATGATGTCATTTCACGTGGAGATGTGTTCTTGTAGGACGAAATGATTACGCCAAGTTATCATAAAATATAAAGAATGATATGATAATTTGATCACGACGTTATAAAAGAACACGATTTGTCGTCGTAAAATAAAACGACATAACTACATAATAACGTATTTTGTAAAAACTGGTATGTTGACTATGTTCGTTATTTAAGGTACTATGACTTGCTATAGGTCGACATGCCGAATTTTACTGCCTTGTCATTTTCTGTTATAGACGACAAGTACAGATCATGACAATATATTCATGTCCTTAAAAATGATATTATCACATTAACATTTAGTTCCTATGTCTACTTATTAAATTATGTTAACTTTTGTCTTTATAATGACGTTAAGTCGACTTATTTCTTTTTGACAAAAATATTTATATAGGAATGAGATAAAAAGATTTTATCAACATGCTTATAAGAACTAGGTAAGTCAGGGAAGAAGGATGTACAAATTATGTTGATAAGCTGACATAGCATACGTCGGCATGGCATATTTTAAAATAATGTTGCATTAACTTATGTCAGAAAAATAAGCTTACGTAGACAACTGGTACAGTTCATTTTCTTTTGTTATCATAACAAGTCGACTTACCTAAAGTAGACTTAATCATATCATCAGGGTGTACCATATACGTTTCCATAGGTAATTGATGCGAGGTTACGCTAGCTGGCTATATATAATTAGGTAGGACATGTAACTGTGACTTAATGTATACCATTACCTACAGTATTAATATAATTACAACCACTGTCTGCATGTTTCCTCACATTATGTTACACCAATGTTTATCTAGTAGTAAAAACTGAATAACAAGACGGAATACTACTTGTTATCTTTGAGCCGTTGTTTTTCAATGGAGGCAAAACATTGGTAAGTTTTTTTGTTGTTGTTTTGTTAGTTTTTTTTTTTTTTTTTTTTTTGGGGGGGGGGTGTCTTTTCTTTCTCTTTTTCACGATTAAGAAATCCATTTTTGCATCCTGAATTTAATAGTGTAATAAGTATTAATTTGTGTAAACGCATGTTAATAAAAAATATATGCTTAATCAAAATATTTTGACTCATAAAGACTACTTTTTTTCATACTGATTGATTTTTTTCTAACCAATCCATTAATAATATATTTGACATCTTGATGAATTCGGCGTCTGACAATTTAGTAATGTGCTCACGCAGTACATTCCTCTTACTTTGCAAGAAAGTTGAGCGGAAAACTTCAAATTACAATTTACAATTATATGAAATCACAGTTGAAGTTTTGTAAATTGTAAGTCTAAAATTATCCGTAATACGAGACTATTAAAGCAATTTTAAAGAGAAACCCCATGCTGTAAATTGCCGTCATTTCACTGTTATCTATTGTACACAATCATGTACTTTGGAGAGGTATGCCATCCATTAAATCGTACAAATTCGACGGTCTTCATCGTTTCCGAATCATGTACACAACGTCAAACATGGCATTTTTTTCTTTATTATTTTTTTTTTCTAGTTACGCCGGTGCTTATTTGATCTTAGCTTCGCGTTAACTTAAAGGGATATCCTTGAAAACGAACACTTCCGTTGTTTAGAAAATTGCTTAAGATGTTGCAAAAGATACACTCAAATCGATAAACTGAAAACATTTTAATGAATTGTTTGATTTTTTTAATAGCCGAATTTCTATTTTAGATGAATTTTACTAAATGACCAATTCCAGTTATATCACAGATAAGTATTTTTTTTCTACATCGCGCATTTTTAGTCTATCTTTCTCTATTATACATGTTTAAAGAAACACATACTTGAAGAAGAAACATTTGCTGGCTTTATAGCGCCTAAATTATTGATTGAGGGCCTAATATGTCTGATTTAGTCAACGTTCATAACAAAGATCTTTAAAGCTTATGACTGGATATATACTGGCTGTTTTTGCGATGATTTTGGTTTATCTGTAGTTTTATCTTAAGTTGTTTCAATAAACGTCTTTTTTATTTATAAACAGATCGATACGCTATAAAGAGATGCGCCCATATCAAAGAAGTGCGTATCAGCCTGACTTAAAGCCGTCCTCCTACGAAATAACCCAGCGCGTGACTAAGAAGATGTGGGTGAACTTTTGACATTAATTATTGACGGACCCTGATTGACCATTCGACAAAGCAGCGTGACAGATGACCAGAGTAATGCAAGTACAACATTAACAGCTGAAAACTAACAGTGTCCAGTGTGTTAAATTGTATTGATACCGAACACTCGCTAGCCGAAAGTGAATTTTTATATAGATTTCTATTACGGGAATTATACAGTATATACCAATGGATGAATATCATACAGAAAATGTACACAGATGTATTTATTGATAATATCAAACATTGAATGGTCGCTTTAATGAAAAGTCGTAATGCATTAATGAAGTTTTGATAGTGAAAGCAGATAAGATCCTTGTGATTACATGTAACAAATGTACATTCACACTTCAATAGCAAAATAAGGAAACTTGTTAACTGTATATAGCGAATGTGGATTAATATTTCACAGCATTTATGTCAGTTTTATACCACTTGTTAGACTACATAGGCAATTATATTATTCTGAATTAGATAAAACACCACTTGATGAAATAATAGGAACAAAGTATATGGTTGTGGATTAATTAAATGCGAGATCACGGATAAAATGTAAATTGGACACACGTGTGACTCATTAAAACTAATTTGTAGCTCACATTCTATAGATTTTTTGCGACAGAAGTTACGGTCCTATTTCTTTCCGTGTTCTTATTTGGATTTCATTGACTTGATTTAAAAAGTTAAGGATTTAAACTGTGATTCCGAAATTGTAATTGGCGCGAAAGTGTAGTACGTGGCTCTCGTGTGCGGCACGTGCAGGCACGATGACTTCAAACGGTACAGCCGGCACTTCCATGATGTTTACCAGCAGCATTCGCGCCCAATTGACGCCTGGATACCAAATGCCAAAGATACGTGGGGACCAGTTGGATGTTTTGGAGAAAAACTTTAAGCAAAATAGAAATCCTAACGACTTTGAACTAGCGCTTATCTCAGCCGAGGCTGGAATGTCGGAAAATGACGTGAAGGTATTTTTTGTTTAAATGAGCCGCGTCATGACAAAACCAACTTAATGGGTTTGCGACCAGCATTGATCCAGACCAGCCTGCGCATCCGCGCAGTCTGATCAGGATCCATGCTGTTCGCTTACAAACCCTATAACAAGTAGAGAAACTAATAGCGAACAGCATGGATCCTGATCAGACTGCGCAGATGCGCAGGCTGGTCTGGATCCATGCTGGTCGCAAACCCACTATGTTGGTTTTGTCGTGTTGCGGCTCAAATACAATTATATACGCCATAAAAAGGGTTATCTCGACTTTTTTTCCATTTCAGTTTTACATTTCATGATGTATAGAGTTTGAAAAGGAAAAAAAAACGAGAAAAATCACTGTGGTCTTGGCAAGGTTCATAAAGCAACTGAAATGATCGAGCAATTTATAAAATCAAAAGTATATACACGTAGATAAACTTGTTTTACCATTCTTACCCGTCACAATTTTTGACCGTACATGTATACATTTTCAAGTATCTGGTTAATTAAACTGGAGTATTTGATTTATCGCCTTCAGCAAAAATTACTACCCCGAAAATAAACAAGACCTATTTTAAATACTTCAGCAACAAATTTGTTTATCTTATACCCTCCCGAAGTTTCATATATTATAACGATATATAACCTTGCTTTTGAAAAATAAATCCCCAATCTTAAAACAAAGCTACATCTAAACACCGTTATTGACAAATGGACCCGTGTAATAAATAGGAGTTTGATTTATATTCATAATATGGCTGTGAAATGTATAGGTTGAATAGAAATCAGAAAACATTTTTAATACAAACAAGTTCTACGTTAAGAGTGCTGGCTTTATTGATCAGCGAATATTTCCTATAACAGAACTGTCAACAAAAGCTGCGATCTTTTGCGGGCGGCATCGATTTACGGGAATACGCAAATATTCAATCCAATTTACTTAATTGATTTCTGTAATTTATCATTCTGGCCAGTTGAATGTATGGTAGTGTAATGTTTATGTATGCCCCTTCATGTTACGCCTTTAAAAGGACGTTTTCACATTCGCACGGTTTGTCTAAATGCAAATATTTGACAGTCGTGACAAACTATGCTTTAAACGTTGTACAGAAAGTTGTATAATTTGTAATAAATCACAGTTTTAATAACGAATTTATTGTAGATCTTAAACGTCAAAAGTTGAAATGTTATGCACCATACATTTCCTATATACGTATTTACTATAATGTACGAGCAATGCAAACTTAAGTTTTCGTGGGAAACACAAATATGTCTCGCCTTTTCGACTGACCAGATACAATATAGATACGGATTAGTCTATCTGAAGTTGTTAAAGATCATTTAAATTGCTAAAACCAGCGCACCAGGGTTGAACATATCCCCTACTATTATAACACCGAAATAATACTACCGACTTCACGCGGCAGCACGGGAACAGACAGAGGGTTCAGAATATTTATTACGGTTTTTAAACATTAAAAAAATGGACTCCTGTCAATATTAATATTGGACATTAGTCACAGCTTTACGTAAGAAACTGTAGACAACAATTGGCTATCCTCAACTCTGACACGAGGGTTATACGCTTAATAAATTACTAAAAATCAATCTTGATAATAAATGAGCCGCGTCACGACAAAACCAGCATAATGGGTCTGCGACTAGCATGGATCCAGACCAGCCTCCGCATCCGCGCAGTCTGATCAGGATCCATGCTGTTCGCTATCAGTTTCTCTACTTGTAATAGGGTTTGTAAGCGAACAGCATGGATCCTGATCAGACTGCGCGGATGCGCAGGCTGGTCTGGATCCATGCTGGACGCAAACGCACTATGTTGGTTTTGTCATGACACGGCTCAAATGTATATTATACTGATTTTTCTTATACAGTTTAATATTCTATTCTTCAGTTGTGTTATTAAGTTTTATCAATTTTGTAGGTTTGGTACCAGCATCGACTGGCGGTATGGCGACAACGACAGGGACTGCCAGCTAACAGTGGCTTTGTCAACGAATAAAACATATATATGCATTCCTTCAGACAAAATTTAATTACGGTTTTTAAACATTAAACGAACTGGACTCTTGTCAATGCCATTTTTGGACATTGGTCACAGTTTACGTAAGAAATTTGTGCCCTACTTCTTCTGTCTGTAAACATCAAAAACGTTTAGATCGCAGAAATACAACAACAACAACAACAAACGACGATGTAATGGAAATCTCGTGGCATTGAATAAATGCAGATGATGCATACGTGACAAACAATGAATACGTAAACTCCCGGAAACCTGGCACGTGCCATGCGAATGCCATACATCATAACAAGGTGTCACTATGCATAACGCGAAATTAACGTTCTTTTACTGAATTACTAGAACAATAATTTGATACATTATCTTTGCAACATTGTATATTGTGAGTGCTTTAATAATATATAAATCAGTTTTACGATAAATTAGTTCTCTGTGACCTAAATAGAATTCCGTAACTTTAACTACGTTGTAAGGGGAAAGGAATGCGACAGTAGAAAAGTAATTTCAAACATTCTTGATACAGATCAAGTACAAAACTTCTAGTATGTGCAATAAAAAACAAATTGAGCGCGAGTTACAAATCATTCCTTGTCGAACAGATAATGTAAATACATAATAATTAAAATACAGATTGTTAGACGGACAACGGACAAGCGAAACTGCGTCTTACTTTGAAGTTCACACGTGTTAAACGAACATGTGTACACGTGTTCAACAACAAAACAGGGAAGTTTGTTGCAGCGGGATAAATCGTTCCTTACTGGCAATGCTACAGGTCAGGAACTAGCAATATGTTTGTTAAGAAAAGGAATAAACGTAATGAATGATTAAAATTGACAACAAATAACTATCAAGATATAAACTGAAGATATTTCATGTATATAGTAACGTTTTTTTTGTGTCCATTTTGTTCAATATGAAAATATCTAGTCATTGTGTTTATATTGGTGTTTTTGTTGTGGCGATTTAAACGAGAACAGAATAACTTGTATTTAACTATTTTTTTCATTATGATTTGCTATGTTTGTTCATTCGATGTACATGTATATTGTTACCATATCCATTAATTAATGTTATCATTTTGAACAGAACTTTGCACAACGTTCACATCAGTAGTATCTGTTCTGTTCTGCTCTACATAATAAAAAAAATAATAAAAAATTAACAGACGGTAATCTGGTAATAAACACAGTATAAAATTAGCTTGAATTGAATGGTCACAATGAAGCGCTTAGGTACAACATCTGTCGATAAAAATCGGTATAAATCGACATTTCCCTTCTGCTGTCTTTTTTCTTGGAAAGGGTCAGATTTCAGGACATTTTGTGGCTTCAGGTCAGTTCGGAAAGTCACGAAATGTTAACTTCCAGGAACCAAACAGACAAGTTATAATATCTGTAATAAAGCATTAATTACATCAGTCAACATGTAGTCTGATCGATAAGAAATGAATCATGTTTGAATACATGGTTCATAATTACACCACACTTTCAATGATACATGTGTTAAATGAGCCGCGTCATGACAAAACCAACAAAATCCGCGCAGTCTGACAGGATCCATGCTGTTCGCTATCAGTTCTCTACTTGTTAGAGGGTTTGTAAGCGAACAGCATGGATCCTGATCAGACTGCGCAGACTGGTCTGGAACCATGCTGGTCGCAAACCCATTATGTTGGGGTCGTCGTGACGCGGCTCATATAGGATAGATAGCTTTGAATTGATAAAATAATGTTTTTTCAACTTAAAACACCATGCTATTGATTAATTTTTGAATGCAACTGACTAGAAGAAAATCATGTTACATTATCCACAGGAACTTGAAATTCTATCAATATTAAAGATTATATGCAAATATACCCCATATTATATAAAAAGTTTATTTATAGTATATAGGGGTTATGTTTGGATATTATCATTAATATTGGTTATTTGATAGAATTTCAAGTTCCTGTGCATTTTCCATAAATTTGCCACTTGCAACACTTTTGAGAATTCAAAAGAAAAATAGTTTACAGTTTATACACAATACCTTTTAAAATAATCATAGATCATTTTTTAATTATAGATTGTTGAATTGTTGATTTTCCAACTGTTTTTTTTTTCAAGCATATGCGGGTACATGAGTCAAACCAGCGAATTTTTGTAAGCTAGCTGGATAACATTCTTGACAGGGTCTGAAGAAACTTTCTTTTAATTCTGGCATTATAGTGATAAATGCTATTACCATAGGAAAATGTCACCGAAATCAACTTCCTGTACAAGCCATTAGAGGTGTTGTATACTAGTAATAGATAATTGACCTATACATTGTATTGGTTTCACACTAAAGGTCACATAAAGTACATTTGGAGTGCACTACATGTACACCTGTAGTGGACTTCGCTGTGCACCTAAGTAGACTCCAGGAAGTTTGTGAATCTTTCGTTAAATGAGCTGCGTCATGACAAAACCAACATAGTGCGTTTGCGACCAGCATGGATCCAGACCAGCCTGCGCATCCGCGCAGTCTGATCAGGATCCATACTGTTCGCTAACCAACTCTATTACAAGTAGAGAAACTGATAGTGAACAGCATGGATCCTGATCAGACTGCGCAGGCTGGTCTAGATCCATGCTGGTCGCAAACCCACTATGTTGGTTTTGTCGTGACGCGGCTCAAATTATAGGATATTAAATTCATTTACATTCCAATGACAGTCCGAAGTAAACATGTAAAGTAGTTAAACAAATTTATATATTCAGAAATGTTGATTTGTTTATACATATGTAAGGCAAATTGGATACTTTATAACATTTATGCAAGTTTACTATATATATATATATTATTGTAATTTTACATACACTTGCAAGCGCCTATGAGTCATAATAAGCAATGATTACAATTCTACATGTACATGTACAGTTGATTCGTGTCAAATAAGCTATTGCTGTAATTTTACATACAATTATCAATGGACTTTCGTTAACATTACATATTATTACAATTGTACCAACAATTATCAATGCATTTGCTAATTATCAATGGATTAGCGTTAATATTAGCTATTATTTCAATTGTACCAACAATTATCAATGGATTTGTGTACCAACAATTATCAATGGATTTGCCCATTAGCTATTATTTCAATTCTACCAACAATTATCAATGGATTTGCGTTAACATTAGCTATTATTTCAATTGTACCAACAATTATCAATGGATTTGTGTACCAACAATTATCAATGGATTTGCGTTAACATTAGCTATTATTTCAATTGTACCAACAATTATCAATGGATTTGTGTACCAACAATTATCAATGGATTTGCCCATTAGCTATTATTTCAATTATACCAACAATTATCAATGGATTTGCGTTAACATTAGCTATTATTTCAATTGTACCAACAATTATCAATGGATTTGTGTACCAACAATTATCAATGGATTTGCCCATTAGCTATTATTTCAATTCTACCAACAATTATCAATGGATTTGCGTTAACATTAGCTATTATTTCAATTGTACCAACAATTATCAATGGATTTGTGTACCAACAATTATCAATGGATTTGCATTAACGTTAGCTATTATTTCAATTGTACCAATAATTGGATATTTATTCGATGTATCTCCCTCAATAATAGTACAACACATTTCCTTCACACTTTGTTTGTATTACATACATTTTACAATCTTTGAATAAACACAGATCTGTTTTTTTCAACTCAAATTAAGAGTTCCCCAAATTTGAGGGGGGGGGGGGGAGTTAAATAGGGACTAAAAAAATTTTTTTTTCCCAGACCCGGGGTTTATTTTTGATGTAGGTTTGAAAAATTTGCGGGAAAAATTCTCGGGCTTGTTTTTTCCAGAATAACCATGTAAAATACTAAAAAAATAAAAAAAATTTTTACACCCCTTTTAACAAAAAATTTTGGGCTAAAAAATAACAAAAAAAAAAAAATTTTAAAATTTGAATAAAATTAAATTTACAGATTTAAATTTTTTAATCAGGGTTTTTTTTTTTTAACTTCCCCTTTTTTGGTATTGAAGAATTTTAACATTTTTAAAACCCATTATGACCCTTTTTACATTTTTTTCCCGTTTCCCAAATTCCCTTTTCTTTTTTTTTAAAAAACCCTTTCCTGTTTTTAATTTTAAATTCCTTTTAAAATGGCATTGTTCTTTTTTAAAATTGGGTTTTTTTTTAGTTTTACTTTTTTTCTTGATTAAAAAAAAAGGACAAAAAACTTAATCATTTTTGATTTCTTTTACTGCCCATTTTATAATTATATAAAAAATATCAAAAAGTTTATTTTAAACTTTTTCATATTATTCCAATTTTTTAACAAAAACGGGCCTTTTAACATAACCTAAAACCTTTTTCCAAGGCAGGACCCCGGGGTAGTGTTTAAAGTAAGTTCAAGAACTTTTGGGGCAATTAAGTTTAAAATTAAAAAATTTTAAAACCCAAAACCCTAAAAGGAAAACTTTCAATAAAACAAGAGGCCCATAGGGCCCCTGAGGTCGCTCACCTGTATATAGGCCCCAGAGCGGGGCGCCAGTTTAAACCCAAGGGCTTTTTATTTGAGCAAAACTTGGGAGACACCCAAATTAGAAGATGTTTCATGATGTTAAGTTTTTTACTACACACATATAATGAAAAACAAGACCTCCGCCCCCCCCCCCCCCCCTTGGCAGGGCCAATTTAAACCCAAGGGCTTTTATTGGACAAACTTGGGGTAGACACCAACAAAAAAGATGTTTCCTGCTTAAAAATCTAACCTCTAGCTTTAATTGGGTTTTTTAAAAAGAAGATTTTTTAAGTTTTTTACGATACACAAATAGTTAAAACAATGACACCTCTGGGGCGGGGCCAGTTTAACCCCAGGGCCTTTTATTTGAACAAACTTTGTAGACACTTTACCTAGAAGATGTTTCATTCTTAATATCTAAAACTCTAGCTATTTGGGTTTTTTCAAAGCAGATTTTTAAGTTTTTTGCCATACACATATAAGGAAAATCAATGACCCCCGGGGGCGGGGGCCAATTTTGACCCTCAGGGCTTTTTTATTTTTGGACAAACTTTGTAGACACCATTTAGAACATGTTTCATGCTAAATATCCTTAGCTCTAGCTTCATTTGGGGGTCTTTGAAAGAAGATTTTTAAGTGTTTTACTATACTGCATTAAAAGGAAAAATTCAATGACCCCCTGGGGCGGGGGCCAATTTTTTGACCCCAGGGCTTTTATTGTTCTTGAACAAACTTTGGTAGACCACTCAACTAGAGATGTTTCATGCTTAAATTCTAAACTCTAGCTATTTGGGGGTTTTTTCAAAGAAGATTTTTTAAGTTTTTGCTATTACCACAATATAAGGAAAATCAATGACCCCCGGGGCGGGCCAATTTTGACCCCCAGGGCTTTTATTTGAACAAACTTTGTAGACACCGCTATTAGAACATGTTTCATGCCACCAAATATCTTAGCTCTAGCTCTTTGGGTTCTTTAAAAGAAGATTTTTTTTAAGTTTTTTTACTATATGCATTATAGGAAAATTCAATGACCCCCTGGGGCGGGCCAATTTTTGACCCCAGGGCTTTTAGTTTGAACAAACTTTGTAGACACTCACTAGAAGATGTTTCATGCTTAAGTATCGTTACACTCTAAACTATATGGGTTTTTTCAAAGAAGATTTTTTAAGTTTTTGCTATACCACATATAAAGGAAAATCAATGACCCCCCGGGGGGGGGCCAATTTTGACCCCAGGGCTTTTATTTGAACAAACTTTGTAGACACCCATTAGAACCATGTTTCATGCTAAAATCATACTTAGCTCTAGGGCTTCTTTGGGGTTCTTTTAAAAAGAAGATTTTTTAAGTTTTTTAACTATTATGCATATTAGGGACAATCAATTACCCCCTGGGGGCGGGGCCAAATGTTTTTGACCCCAGGGTTTTATTATGTGAAAAACTTGGTAGGGAACCCCATTAAAGAAAGATGTTTCATGCTAAATGCCTATCTTAGCTTGTAGCTCTTAAATGGGTTCTTTAAAAGAACAGATTTTTTATGGTTTTTACTATATGCATATAGGGAAAATCAAATGGACCCCCTTTGGCGGCCCGGGGCCAATTTTGACCCCAGGGCTT